CTCAGCTGTCCATCATCCCCACTTGTCAACCACTCTTTGAGCTATGCTGGGAGCCTGAATGTTGCCAGTTCCCTTTCTAATAACCTGTCCTGTTACTTTGGCAAATGGCTTCTCCTTTCTCAGTGTCCCTGCTTATAAAAAGAGCATAAATGAGACACACAATGTGAGGATTTACTGCTTAGTGTTTCTCAATCCACACTTGAGCAAATGACTTCATTCCTTTTAGACAGCACCCAGTATCCGCCACTCTGATTACAATCTGGCTCTGTGCTCTTGTGTCACTTTTAATTAGGCATTTTGTTTCTGCATTGTGTCATTCTCACATGGTTTGCAGCATAAATAATGATGTATTGTGTTTCAGTGGGTGCTGCGAACCTTTAGCTTTTAATGAGGCTGCATGGATATTTATGAGGCCATCTACCTGTTTTGCAACATGCAGGTTCTGAGACTAAAATACACTGGGATCTTTTTTTGGGGGGGGGAGGGGGCGTGGGGGACGGACACCTAAGACATCAGAGTGGTAGTTAAAAGGTGGACATTTGCATTGGGAATTGCAGAAACAGATCATTTTGCCCCAAGGTGGGAATTGGTGGCTGATTGGAGCAATCCCAGCCTACAGCAGCTTCTCTCCTAAAATTAGCGTAGCGGGACTGAGCCCATAAATTTAAGGGACAGCACGTGAGGTGAGATGTCTTTGGGTGTATTTTTTCTCTGCGAGGACAGGGATTTGGGCTCCTGCTGCATTTGTCGTCAGGTGGGAGCCATAAGCTAGGAGCAGTGAGGGTGGGAATGGGAGAAGGGCATGGTGTCACTGCTTGGTGCCGCAGCTGTGTTGGGACAAACTGAGGGACAATTTGCTGTGGGATCCCATGAAGATCAGGGTGGGAGCTCCTTGTGCTGGAGCCCCCTCACTTGTTGAGTGAGGCTGCCTTGTGCCTGCACTTTTCAGAGGCCACATGCCCAAATCATCAGGCAAAAGGTCTGAGTTTATTTTTTTTCCTGGCCACTTAAGTGAATTGGATCTCAGTCTCCCACTTTTCACCTTGTGCCACCAACAACTTTTTGGAATAAACGCGAAGCGGGCGTTTGGCCATGCCTACACCTCACCACAGCTCTCCTGCGGTGGTTTGTCATGCTGCATACTTCCCAAATGATGCAACCCAACCCCTCCGCAGCGCAGAGAGGTGCAGGGCACGGCCAGCTCTGCTCCTGGTCAGTGCTTGAATTGCTGCAAAGGGGCAGTTGCCGTGGGCATGGGTTTGGTGCTGGGTTACCGCCAGGGGCCAGTTAACTCCTGGAGCCTCCTCTTAGCCATGCAGCCTGCAGTTGGGAGCCGCTTGCCGTTCCGACGTGTCTGCAAGGGAAACCTTGGCACCAAATGGTGTGCCCTGTAGCGTAGCTCAACAGGTTCGTAGCGTGCACCCAGTGCAGGCACAGACCCAAGTCAGCACCTTGAGGCAGAGGGAGGAATCACCCGCTTGCTTCACTCTGTCTTGGCTTTGTGAGGATGGTTATGACATGGCACAGCCAGGCTGCAAGTGCCTGTGCGACAGCTCCGTGCAACCCCACGTGTGTGCATGTGTCAGGGCCACACCGGCACTAAGCCCAGGAGCGAGTCTGTAATCCCTCTTAAATCTGGTACCAGATCTGATTCATCCTGATTTTTAACTCCTGGGGTCAAATTCTGCATGACTGATTCATGCCTGGTGCACGCCTGGTGAACGCGGTAAACTCGAAGCTCAGTCCTGCCTTGAAGGGCACTTACGCCTTTTTTCGTACCGGGTAAAGCTCTTCCCCTGCACTGAAGAGTTGTGCAGCCCACGGTACGTGGGAAAGAAGCATCCTCGGCGTCGTGGAGAGCTGTTCTCACTCTTGGCACTGTTTTCCCTCTTCTACTTTTCCTGCCAAGCCTCTCTCCTCCCACGCTGTCCTCGTGTAACATGGAAACCTGCCGCAAGTGGAGCTGATGGCTGGAGGTGGCTTTGGGGTGCTGCCGGGTGTAGGGAGGAGGCGGTCGGGTGCTGGGGCCGGTGGAGGTTTCTGAGCAGCAGCCGTGGCCGTGGGTAGCCCCAGCTCCATGCAATGCTGGACCTGATCTTCCCTCCCCTCCCACAGACCTGGAAAGAGTCATTCATGTCATAGGCAATGTGGGCAGGTGCAAGATAATTACAATTATAATTATTATTGTCATCATTGAATGTATTGATGGGTTATGATGGTGCCTGACACAGGGCTACCACACCCTCTGTTGCTATCAGCACCCAGGGCTTGGCTCCCCGTCTGGTCCAAGGCTGCAATCTTGCCCTTTGCTCCTACTCTAAAACCTGATAGCAAGTCCCAAACTGGGAGAAGGCCAGAGGAAAGGAGGCGTTTCGCTTTCCTTTTGGCTTTCATTTGGAAGCTTCTAACTCTGTGATATTTGGGCTAAAAGCTGGGTGCTGGACTAGTGTGTCTTACTGGCTGAGATATAAATGCTGAGATAAAATACCAGGCTGGTGCAACAGCAAACAGTTGGGAAGTGCTGAAGCCCAGATCTTGGGAGCGTGATTCTCCTTGTTTCTGTATTTCCCGTGTTTGCAATTGTAGGAAAAAAACCTTGTCTCCCTGAGAGCTGAATTAGCCCCTCTGTAAGCAGAGATATGGTTACACCATATCTCAGCTTGGTGATTATAGCCGTAATAAAATACTTGTAACAAATCAATCGCTTGAATTTTTTTTTGCCTTTCTCTTCCTTTGACAGTGACTCATTTGCTAGGAGGTCCTACACTTCTTTCGTTTAGCCCCTCTGCCTTGGCTTTTCTGCTTCTCTGCCCTTCACAAAATTGTTCATGTGTTCGCAGATTGAGCTGTTTTGGGTAGATCCTACAACCTCCCATTTCTACAAGTTAAATGTGTTGAATTCCTGTAGCTGCACATGGAAAACATCCCTGCTGTGGAAGTCCCTGGTGCTTGTTCAGGAGAAGCCATCTCTGGAAACCCTGACTGGTACGAACCGCCTTCTGTAGCAGGAGAACAGTTTACACTGAATCTGATGGAGTTTTTGCAATCCAGTGGCCTGAAAATTCAAATGAATATTTGCAGCCACATATTTGGTAACATGTTGCTCTGTGCATAGGGAGTGGAGGGAGGTGATACGGGTTTTACTCCTGCCTCTCCCACATAGCTCCTGCCTGCAGGACAGTTTATCTCTAAAACACTGCATACAGTTCTGTGTTTCTTTGTTGTTTTTCTTCCTTAGGAGCATTTATTGGGTAACAGATGTGTTTGGACAGCTTTGATTTTTGCAAAAGATCTTGGAATTCATAATTGGGGCCAGAGGTTGTGGAGCATCTTTGTTCCCGTGTAGTCACCAGGGTGAAGGTGGTTATTTGTGTTGTGGCAGCTATTAAGAAACCCAGTCATTGTCCACAATTACATTGCGCCAAGGGCTGTACAAACACGGGTGAATTAGGATGGCTGTCTTGTTGGATGCTTAGTGTTTTGGGGGAAGTAAGACCTTAATCCTTCCTGGATTTGGATGATCAGTTGGTGTAAAGTGGCATCATGCCATTGACTCTGCCCAAGCTGTGTCTGGTGACACAAAATTTTGATAAGAGCATTTCTTCTTGATGACTGTGCTAGATCTAGATCTTTTCTCTCCTTCCTTGCTCTGTTTACTTTGTGGCATTATCCTTTCACCTAGGCATGAATCAGGCCCACAAACTCCTGTAATGATGCTGAGTACTGTTGCACTAGTTTTATTTCAGCTCTTATAAACTGGTGGTGTTCCCTTGACTGCAGTGAAATGACCTCACAGTTTCCATCTGCTCTGAATGGGGCACATTAGCTTGCAATTGAGTTAATTAAAAGAGGAGCAGGGGAAGATCTTCTCATGCCACATGCAATCTCATTGCTGCAGGCTGTAGTGAGCAGGGATGAGTTTAACCAAGGAGAGGACCAATAATGGGGAGAGAGGACCATCAGCAGCAGTTAAACGTGCTGGTCAAGATGCAACCTCCAACTTGGGAAGGGTTAAACAGCTGATGGCTGGAGAAATGTGGCCAGAGGAAGGATCACTGCATAATTGCCCTGTATTTTGGGGCTGGCCAACATGTATTACTGGCTTGAGATAGATGGACTCTGATCTGACCTGGCTTGCCTGCTCTGTACCATGCGAGTATCCACAGAGGTTAGATCAGATCAGCTGTTAGGAACTTGAACAGACCAACAGATTCAATGGGCAGGACTCAAAAGTTGCATGTGATTTTTTTGTGAGGACAGAACATGGATTTTCCAGTCTCTTCTGAGACGTGCCGTTTCCAGAAGAACTGAGCTCAGCATTACCAGGGCTGGCAATTTCACCTTGGCCTTGAAAATTGTAGTGTTTTAATTTGTTTGTTTGTTTGTTTTTCCTTAAGGCTTTAGCTGTGGGAGTGACTCTCAACTTTCATGTAAAAATTATCCATGTAATTATGATTATATGTAATTATAACTGTATTTATAGTTATTCCTTCATGATTTCTTGTAATTTGGGGGAGACGGGAAAAAAACAGCTTTAGGTGAATGTAAAATAGGCTGGAGGGGGGGAAAGTCCATAGCTTGAATGCCTCCACCATGCGTCAGGCACAGAGAGCTTTTCTGATGAGCTGGTGCCCTGCCACACGCTGTGTTCCTGGGAAGGATCCCTGCAGTCCATCTGCCTGGGCTGGGTTTGCTTGTTTGTCCAGGATCTCATGGCAACGTGCAGAGGTTCCCACTGCTGCAGCTGTAGCGTGGGCCGTAAACGCTCCTTCTGCAAACAGGGCAGGAGGCGTGTGCGGCTCCATCCGTGGGGCAGGGGAGCTACACTGGTGTGCTGAGCAGCTGGAAGATGCTGGGGAGGAGGCGGGGGGACGACACACGACTCCAGTGACAGCAACTCCTTTGGGAGTCCAAGTTGTTCCTGGAGGTGCCTGGCAAGTGGTTTTGTGCTGTTAGCTAAACACCTTGGAGTTTGGACCAATGCTCTTTTTGTGTTTCAGATAGCAGAATGAGCGTGGCCAGTTCTGAGCTCAGGGAGGTGTTTCTCAGTGGTGGATTACACAGCCAGCAGCAGGCAGCTTCCCAGGAGTGGCCAGGCAGCAAGGAGCCAAGCCGAGAGCTTCCCAGCCTCAGTGGAGCAGGCAGAGGGAGGAGGAAAGGTGAGATACAGCTCCTGGAGGGACAGGAGCTTGCTGGAAGCCTTGTTAACATGGAGCTGCCTCTGGTCTGCAGCAGCTGGCTCTGTCATCCCAGGCAAGCTGCATCCAGCTATTCCTACCAGTCCTTGTGGTGCCCCCCTGAATACTCGGGCTGTTCCGCTTTGTTGTGAAAAGGAGAGGTGTAGCTGGAAGACACAGTGTAGTTTAAGACCCGTCATACCAGCCTCTAGCACTGATTGAGACCTGAGGCCATTACAGCTGCGGGGCTGTAAAAGTGGAGAGCAAAATGCAGTTTCTACGTGTAAAACTGCATGAAGTCGCAGCACGAACAATACTGATGCACGTGCCAAGGGCACTGGAGCAGAGAGAGGCCATAGAAGTGATTTCAGGTCCTCAGAAAAGCCACTTATTTATGAAATGTGTCAGGATTTCAGCCCATTCAGTTTATCCAATATAAGACTAAGAGGGTGGTGACTTAACATTAATAGGGAAATCATACCAGGTTCAAGAGAGCCATTTAAGTGCTTCGGAAGTGGGCAGTGGCAGAAAACTAAAGACACCCATTAAATAACTTCAAATTAGACGTAAGGCCCTGAGTTATTGCAGGAGGGTTCCTGCTGCAAAGCAATGAACTGTACCAAGGTACCAGCCTTTGGAACGAATGAATCCTTCACATCAGTGAGCCGTTGCCTTTCTGGAAAAGCTGCTTCCCTGTTGTTGAGATACTAGGCTGAAGAGCTGTATCATTATATTTTTTATAGCCTGAGTGACACAGGAAGTAGGACTAAACAAATCAATAAAACTTCATGATAGGTGGCCATCTTATCCTAACATGGGTCATTTGTATATCAGATTGTTGAAATACAGTACCTGCATTTGGGACAGTAAGAGAACAAGTTCTCTCTGGAGCAACCTCTCTATATTGGCAGGAATTATTAATGAGCTGGAAATTTTTATTAGTGAGGCTACTTAGATCCTGAAAGGGCAAGCTGTGATCGCAGCATGGTGGGAATCTTCAGCACAGCAGTTTTATGGCTGCAGGTGTCAGTGGAAGTGCTGCTGTGTTGGCATCACTTTTGGGTGTTGTTAGCAAGAACAACAGTTTGACAGCATCGTTCTGACAGCCCCATGAGTGCCCCATTGTTCTCTTGTGATACCCCAAAATCATGAGAACACCAAACACTGCTTGTCATTAGGATGTTAATTAATTTATAACTCACTGCTGAAGCACTTTGGAGCAAGTAATCACAAACTAGGACTGCACTGTGCACACACAAAACATAAGGGCACTCCCTGCTCCACAGAGCTTTCAATCCAAACATTGCAATCTAAATGTACAGCAAGAGATAGCCCATGGGATATTGACAGAAGATGTGGAAACAACAGGCCAACATTGATCAGCATAATAACATGTTCTTAACACAGAATTTTGCTCACCTGTGAAGATTTCTTCCTCTTCCATTAGGACATGACCATATTTGATTTTTTTTTTTTTTTCTTTTTTCACTTTCTGGGCTGGAATTGAGAGCTTGGTTCATTTTCCCAAGGGTTTATGGAGGGATTTATCATTTGTGAGTCTTGGCTTTGTGAGCGTCAGTGCACAGTGGCAGGTTGTTCCTGGGTGTGCAGGGACTGGGCTAGCTTGTCGTGACACCAAGCACAACAGTCGCAATGTTCCCCAGGAGGGAGTTTAACCAGTCAATACAGTGTCTTTTGTGTTACCAAACCTGAATCCCTGGGGGTCATTCGCATGGGCTTGGAAGTATTTAGAGTCCCTGCGGTTGTGAAACTATGCAGTGTTACCATGGCATCCCAACAACACAAACAAACTCTGGTAACATCCATGGATCGCTGCATCCTGCTCTGACTTACCCTGACTTGAAACCAGACTTAAATGGGGAATGTTCACTTTGTAGGAGGGGTGCAAGGGATCTAAACTGGCTAGCTGCGACACTGGGAGCTGGGGAGCATATAGCAGCAAGGTAAATGAGGCTTTCCTCAGTCTCTCCTGCATTGACTAGGTTGCTAATGGTACAGAAAAAAAAGCTTGAACTTCGAATGGAAAATGGACTCATCCTTACCTATAATCAGTGGTGCTGCATGCCGGTAATGGGGCTTTTCAATGGGGAAGATGGCTTTTCATTGATCTGGCCCTTGATAGTGCAAACCAGGGTGAAGTTCAGTTCTCTTACTGCTGAGCTGGTGTTTCTGCTGAGGCTGCTGAGAACAGCTTTGCCTTTATGATAGTTTATCTGACAGCAGGCTTGTGTTTTACCTGGCTGGATTGCTTTCTGGTTTGCGTGTTGTGTTGTGCAAAAAATCCCTGTCTGCTGATACAAAGGAGTTGAGGCTGGAATGCAACCTGATAAAATCCAGCAGCTGGGCCTTACTTTGGTGGGAGTTATTCTTGCCTGAGTGTCGGACTCTAAATCACACATTCAGATTCGATCCCTGTCTTCTCAAGCCAACCCAGAGGAGTTGCAGGAGAGCAGCCTGACTCTCTGTGAACTCAGAAGAACCTGGAGCTATGTAAAGCAGCTGGAGGCTTCTGCCTTGTTGCTAGCTATGTACAGATGAAATGAACCCTAGCCTGTCTACATCAGGCATCAGGTCGAGTGTAGCTGGGTGTGTGTAACACGTAAGTTTGCTTTACACTCAATGGATTATTTTTTTTTTTTGCTGGTGGAAGCCGAGCCAGCTTGCTGGGCAGCGAAGAATCTTCCCTCATATGTCTCTGTCTGGCTCAATCTCCCCCTTTCCCTCCTTCAAAAAGAGAATTTCCTTTTAGTAGCTGGGATCTCCAGTCAACTTGTATTCTTCCCGCAAAGAAGGAAGTACATATTTTGAATAGGCTGTGGCCAGAATATGTAGCCAGCGCTATCTTGCTGTCCTGATGAGGGGAAGCGCTGAAGGGTGACACATTCAGGCCAAACTTTGAAGTTCTCCTGGAGGATTTACAACCTGATAGTAGAGACCTGTCCCTTTTAAGGCTATTTGAAAGTGTAGAAAGCCCATAAAACTAATTTTTGTCTCTGCCTCTTCTGCATAGGAACCCAGAAATTTAAGCAGAAGCCTGTCCTGTCTCCTTTTGAGCGTGGACTAGCATGTTGGGTATTGCCATGTGCAGGGTGCAACCCACCTAAACCATCTTTATTTTAGCACTAACAGGAGAGAGAAAGCAAAACCATGGTGTCCAGGGATAGCTGCAGCATCTCCAAACTGCCACCCTCATTCCCCTGCCTGGCGCAGACTTGCTGGGTGCTGCTGGCAGAGTACAATGTGTGTGCCAAGGCTGCAGCTGGCTTTGGTTTATATTAAACTAGGCATGACCTGGCACTAAGCTGAGGCCCCTCATCTCCTTTCTGCTGTTGCACAGGGGAGCTACCTGCTCTGCAATAGAGTTAAAAATAAATGCGTATTCCCCCTCTTCTCATTTCAGCATCCATTTAGGCAAGCGGGGAGGAATGGAGAAGCCTTGAGGAAACGGGGCTCGGACCTGTGCTATTCTAACTCTCTGTGAAGGGAGCTGAGAAGGGCCCATGCTTCACGTCCCTTGGCTGCATGTGTGGCAGAGGCGAAGGGTGGTGCAGAACAAAGCCATATCTGAGCGTGGGGACATGGCGCCAGGTGAGTCCTGGCCCTTCCCTGGCCCTTCCCTTCTCGCCTGCTCAAATTCAGCAGGTTGACGGAGGGTGGGAAGGCAGCCAGGCACACCCAGATCTCCGAGGCAGTAAAATGATCCCTCTTGCCCTTGGGCCAAGCCCAGCTTTTCTAACGGATAAAAGGAGAAGCAGTCAGGAGAACTCACTTCCCTGGTCTCCAGCACAGCTTCCCTGAGCTTTTGAAGGGAGAGGGATACTGAAAACACCCTTGGAGCAGCCATGTCCAAGCCTTTGAATTTCAGCTCTCACTCTGCAGCTGTCCCAGGGATCAGCCAAGTGCGGGTCAGCACTGTCTCCTTAGCCCGTGGACTAGGAGGAGGTGTCAGCTTAAGGAGGGCAGGTGGCTTTAGCAGCTCCAGCCTCTACAACCTCAGCTCTGCCCAGCAGTTCTCCCTTGGAGCTGCCAGGCCCTACAAATTTCACTCTGGACACGGCTACGGAGGCATAGGATGGGGTGGGGTGCTCAGCCCTGGGGGCATTCAGGAGGTCACCATCAACCAGAGCCTCCTGACGCCCCTGAACCTGGAGATTGACCCCAATATCCAGCGGGTGCGCAAGGAGGAGAAGGAGCAAATCAAGACACTCAACAACAGATTCGCCTCCTTCATTGACAAGGTGAGGTGTTGGAAGGACTGATAGCTCTGTGGACACTGCTTTAAAAGCAGGTCTGACCCAAAGCTTGCTTAACCCAGTGAGGGATTCACAAATGGGCTCAGGATTTGCCTGCTGCAATCCAATAACTCTTATTAAAGCCCTGCTTGCATTTACTGAGAGTAAAGGGTTTTGCCCTGCTTAGGCCAGCTTTGTACCCCCTTTATTCAGCTGGTGTTGCCTATCATGTGGGTGCAGGCTTTAAAAAGCAAATCTGCACTCAAGCACACCACCACCAAATTCAGGGAGGAGGGGCCCTCTTGGAGAGGAATCGTGCCAGTAGAACGTATCTTGACATAAGTAAGAGCTTGCTGTGTTTGTTTGCACTGCCTGTACCTCTGTGGCTTTACTGTCTTGCACTAATTGATCCTATGTCCTGTGTAAACTTCAGCTTTGGCATCCTCAAAATGCAAGGAATCCAGACCTGGAGTTTGAGTAATTGGATGACTTTGAGGTCTGTGGATGGCTTCTGTCAAGTGTCAGGCAAGCAGAATCTGCTTATCTTTAATTCATACAAAGCCTTAAAGTCATAAGCCAAGCCTCAGAGTAACAGTGCTCCCTCATGGTCTTTATCACTCTCCAGAGTTTAGGTGCTTCGTATGAGCAATCTAAATTCTTCAGATACCATCCACAGCCTGTCCTTCCCTCAGGATCCAAACTCTGTAGTGTCAGCTCCCCCTTCCTCCAGCTTTCACAAATGTCTCTTGGTTGCTTTCCAGGTCCGGTTCCTGGAGCAGCAAAACAAAATGCTGGAGACCAAATGGAGCCTCCTCCAGGACCAGAAGACCACCCGGAGTAACATTGCTCCAATGTTTGAGACATACATCAACAACCTGCGACATCAGCTGGATGGGTTGTTGAATGACAAAGCACGTTTGGAGGGCGAACTGAAGAACATGCAGGATCTTGTTGAGGATTTCAAGTCCAAGTAACGTATAATCTTCCAATCTAATGGTGTAGTTGAGCTGGCAGGTTGGTCAGTATTCTGGCAGAGATGTCCCCAGCTTTTCTGCTAGGGAGGGACATTTTTTTCCAGCCACGAGTTAGGTGTCTAGTCTAGGGAAGCTGCCTGGATTCTTCTTGCCTGGATCGCTTGTTGTTCCTGGCACCTTGTTCCTACATGGTCTTCAGTGGCTCTATCCTCTTGGCTTTGCTTTGGAGCCTTCTCAGGGATGGCTTCATACTTTGGGTTGGACGTGCCAGTTCGGGTCCTTAGGAACCCCATGGGAGCTCAGCGGGTTGGCAGGCAGCGGGTGAACTGCTGCTTGTTTTGTGGGCAGGTAATGGAGCAGGTGATCTGCAATTTGTAAGTGACTTTTCAGTCCAAATCGTGTCACCTGGGAGGAGTTCTATGAAGAAAGTAGCCTTTGTCCCAGCCTGTGCCCAACCCAGCTGTACAGGGGAATGCCTTTAATTAAAAAAAAAAAGGGGGGGGGAGAAAGAAAAGAGGGAGCTGGCATACTGGATCAAGCCGGAACTGAAAACAAAGAGATCTGATAATCCCCAGGGTGTGTTTAGGGAAGGTCAATAGCCAGCGATTCCCAAGGAGGTGCATGGGGATGATGTTTTCCCTGACCCTGCTCAGCTGTTTCCACCCCATGCTCATTCACAGCTGTACTTTGCATCTTTGCAAGGCAGCAGCAAGGAGCTGGTTTGCACCCAGAGGAATTATGGCCCTAATTTTAGTTGCATGTCACATGAATGCAAGGTGCACAGGTGCATATTTATTCCTCCAGCTTACAGGTCCATGTAAAACCAAACCCTGTATGTGCTAAGAGAAAGGAAGCAGGAATTAGGAGCCTAAGATGCTAGTGCAGCAGAGGGGGTGAGGATGCAGTAACTGGAGTTCAGAACCTGCTTCTCCCCATTTACATGAAGAAAATCTCATCTTCTAAGTAGAATACCTAAAACATGACTAACTCTTTATGTGTCTGTTGCCGCTTTTTCAATATGTCCAATTTACACAGTAATTCTCCATTTATATCTGGGGTAGGGGAGGAGATTTATATGCACAAGGCTCCAGGGGTTGAGATTCAGTCCCTTATTCAGTAACTGCATTGACTAAGGGTGTGGTTCAAAGTAAGCAAGTGTAGGAGCAGACTGTATTCATGCTATCCTTGGTGCAGGGCATGCCAAGGTGTGATAGTGCATTGGGCTTCCTGAGGTGCTTTGGGAGTTAATGGAGAATATTGAATGATTTGTCAATTTGTTGACCAGCTTGGCGGAACTTCCCCCAGGAAACGAGGAATTTGACAAACCGTTCTAGAATAGTTCAGCCTTTTTACCTATCTCTGATTATCCATTCTGCGCTGCAGGCTGTGCGTATGCAGCATGGTCATGTAATTTCCAGGTCATATATTACTCTGCAATAGTAACAGATGCAGATCATTGACCTCGAAAGGGATAATGTCCATTTCGGCTAGTGTGGATGGGCAAGCTTCCAGTGTGGAGCAGAAGGGGAGGTACATGAAGGCTGTTGAACGTGAAGTAGCTCGCACTTTGGAAGGCAGATTACAGCGCTAGCCATGCAGGGACCGTGTAAATAAATAGACCAGTGTTCTAATTTTGGCAACGGCAATTCTGAAACAGCCAGAGAAGGTGGTTCCTGCTCTGTTCCTTGGATGACTTTCAGGATTCGTATAGCAGATTCTTGCTGTTTGTTTCAGCAGGTTGGCTGTACGTAGAATGGTGTAAGGCAGGCTCTGAGATCCAGGCTTGCAAGTGGTACAAATCAGTGAACTCCTGTAAAGTCAACAGAGCGTGATTTTTATCTGCTGAGGATCTAGCTCATTACATCTAAAGGTGAACACCTAAGGAAGGGATGTCGCCAATATTAGAAGTTTGTGTGACCTTGAAGCATAGCGACTCTGTGCGGAATGAGAATAATTATACTTGGCTCTTACCAGGACAGAGGCAGGCGATTGACACCTGCAAAATGTTCTCAAATGTCTGTAATAAGGAAGTGCACAGTGAAAGTAACATTAGCAAGTGCTTTGATCAGCATAGAGGAATTTGTTGAATCTGCTTGCATCTCTTCTGCATTTGTACTTGCTCTCTCAAGGGGCAAGTGAAAAAGCTGAGACCCTCAGGACATAGGCTGCCATCTTGCAGCTGTCCATGACTGAGGGTAAGGAGCAGAAATCTTCTTAAGTGCAGTGAATTTTGAAGAACGTGGGAAGGCATGGGTGAGAAAGGCTTTCCAGGTTAGTGGTCATGGCAGCGTGGACCAGAACAGCTTTCAGGCATCAGCTCATCCAAACCCCGGGTGAGACTGGAACTGGAACTGTGGAATACAGCTGGTACCCCTTGTGCAAATACTACACATGCTGCAGTGATACAGCAAACCTCTCCTGCCTGTGGCTGGCTTGCTTGGGGAAGTCATAGGCTTCGCTGCAGCAGTTGACAGAGAGAAATGGAGAGGGAGAGAAGGGAATCAGGGTAACTCTTATCTGTGATGTTTTTTCCTTTAACCCGGGCTCTAACTTCACACCAATCCCCTTTTTTCTGGCAGATATGAAGATGAAATCAACAAGCGCACTGCAGCGGAAAATGAGTTTGTGGTGCTCAAGAAGGTGCGTGCCCTGGATGTTACCTGGGACTGATCATATACGTTTGCAGCCCTTCTCCCCCTTTTGCCCCTACACTCTCTTTGCTACAGCTGTGCCTAGAGACCTGCAGGTGAAGAATTACAGCTCTCATTTCTGCCTAAAGGCTGCCTCAGTGTAGGCACTGAAGTCTCTATAGGAAGCTGGGAAGGAGTGCCAGGTCCCATGGATATCATAGATTATGGCTATGTCTTTCTTTGGGACATTTCCTAAGGCCTTCCCTGACTGTCCACACTGACAGTGGACTTGCAAACACAGGTCCAGGGGACCCTACAGAACATATGGGATGCGGCACACGAGCAATATTTAGTACACTGGTAGGTAATTTTTAGGACGTGGGTCATTGAGCAGATGGACATGGAGAGCAGACAGCTTGGGGAACTTGATGGGTTTATGGCTGCTTTTGAAGCCATCAAAGGCTGGGTGGACTTAGTCATCAACGCTATGGCAATCTCAATGGATTATCACTTTTTTAGGATGTGGATGCCGCATACATGAACAAAGTGGAGCTGGAGGCCAAGGTGGATGCGCTGACAGATGAGATTAACTTCCTGAGGGCTCTCTATGAAGCGGTAAGGTCCTTTCTGCTTCTTGTGGGTGCTGCAGTGTAGCTCCACCAGTGGGTGAAGAACAGAGAATGGTGACTGAGAAGATTAACGTGCTGTTTCCAGAGACAAAAAAGGCGATGGAGACGTGGAGTCTTCCCTTGTCTAAGCAGAAATAAGCCTGCAAGTAAAGCGCACATCCTGTGAAATGTCACAGTGATTTCTCCCTATCTGGGATGTGAGATGGATTTATTGCGAATGTAGCCAGGATATGTATTATTTTTTTGATGCTGTTACTGTGAAAACAAGGAAAACCAGTGTATTATAGCCAGTGCTGTAGTGCTGGTGTGTGCTTGTGTGTTTGTGTGCTGTGAGAGAAAGAAAGGAAAGCTCCTTGTCTAAGACACCTCTATCTTACCCATTATTTGCAAGATAAGAGTTTGATTGAACTGGACACTTGGATCCTTGGGTGAGATGGCGGAATTTGGCCCTCACTTTGTTGTGAAGCTGATGCTCAAGCTTCTTGGACTAGCATTTCATGCTGGGTTCTTATCTCGGGAGTGGGGTAAACTAACCTTGCTGTCAAAATGTGGGTGATAAGAAGTAACATAATTTCTGCTGTTGTTTGTTACTTTGTGCTTTGCAAGGTTGATGTGATTCAGTTGGTTTCCTTCTAATTACTTAATGTTTTGGTTGAATTCTTCTTATCTGCCTCCCTTTCCCTTTTCTTCTCAGATTCTCTCTTTAATTGGCTTCCAAAAGAGAGGCCCTTAAAAGTCAGTGATTAATGGTATTGTTTTTAATGCAACTGGCAGGAACTTAAGGAGCTGCAGGCCCAGATCTCTGACACCTCTGTGGTGCTGTCTATGGATAACAGTCGAAACCTGGACCTGGACAGCATCATTGCAGAGGTCAAAGCCCAATATGAGGAGATTGCCAACAGGAGCCGGGCGGAGGCCGAGTCCTGGTACCAAAGCAAGGTGAGTTATGGGAGAGATAAAGGCAGTTAAGCTTCTGCTAGTACATGTATCCTGTGTGTCATGAGTGGGAGAGATTTTAGCTGGCTAATTGACTACCAGTCTGACTCCATCCTTTTCTCTTATACTGTTTTATGTCACAGTACGAGGCACTGCAGGTCACTGCTGGGAAACACGGAGATGATCTGCGCAACATGAAGAATGAGATCACAGAGATAAACCGCATGATCCAGAGGCTGCAGGGTGAAATCGAAAATGCAAAGGCCCAGGTGAGGAGCTGCCCTTGTTCTTCTGCTGCAGAGCAGTGGATTTAGCAGCAACAAGCGTGCCAGGGATCTGGGTGTAACACAACATCTGTAGAAGCAGTTTGGGGGTGGCTGCAATGCTCACCTCAAAAGAAGTCAGTTCTGCTGGAGGGAGAAAGTGTGTTGTGAGCAATGAAAGGCTGAGAGGCAGCTGAACTATAGGTGAGAACAAGTCTGCCAGCAACCTGGGAGTACAGAAGGGGAGTGATGCAGAGCCATTTCCAAAGGGCAAGGTTGCATGTGGCCTCTCTCCCAGCCACACACATTCCTTGTACCCTCTTGCTTCTGGGATCTTTGTCCACATCCTTTCTGCAGAAGGGAACGCCGTGTTTGAGCACATAAAATAATTTTGCAGCTGTATGGGAGTTCTGTTTGCTTTCTCCAGGGACTGTTACTACTTTATCAAATGGCTGGTGAAAGCCAGACCAGTTGAGTGGTTCAGACCATGCTCAGGGCTGAAAACTGGTTGTGAATAACCAGGGAGCCCAAAGCTGGAGATAAGCTATTGTGATTCATCCATTTGTGTGTGTTTGGTTTCAGGGCAGGGAGGCTTCAACACACACTTACAAGCAAAGAGCTGACCCGGTGCAGCTCCCTTGAATAATGAATGAGAGTAAAAAGCACATCTGTTCATTGTGAGCCCTTCCTGCCAGACATGGAGCTTTTTTGGAGGTGCACGGGGCACAGTTGAGGATGCGACTGCCAGCTTGATGTGGCCCCACAGGGGTGCTTTTGGGATTGGTCTGGATTATTTGTTAACGGCAGCTCTGCTCGAGTCCATGCTTGCCTCACATCAAAGCTTGCTGGAGACTAACTGGCTCTGAACAAGCTCTGGGGCATAATAGGAGAGAAAACTTGAGCCTGCATTAACCCTAAGTGTTGTGCTGTTATGTGTGGTGTCGGTGAGCTTAAGAAGCTGAGGATTACCTGAAGAAAGTCTTCCAAAAAACGTAGGCAGTGGAGAGAAGTAGGGTCTGCCTTTCAGAAGAACGTATCTTGGGATGAGATGAGCTTCCTTTGCAGGCTGATCTCTGCGCAGTTCCCCAAAAAATATGTAGGCATAAAACTGTAGGGATCTAAGTTGAGCAGATGGCTCTAGGGCTCTACAGAGACACAGAGATTGTCTGGCCAGTAGATGTCAGAAGTCCATGGGCAGTAGTGTCTTCCACCAAGGAGGTGAGATTCCCACTGATGTACTCTGCTCTGTCCCTGCAGCGTGCCAAGCTGGACGCAGCCATTGCTGAAGCTGAGGAACGTGGTGAGTTGGCTGTCAAAGATGCCAGGGCAAAGCTGGCTGAGCTGGAAGATGCTCTGCAGAAGGCGAAGCAGGACATGGCCCGGCAGCTCCGCGAGTACCAGGAGCTCATGAACGTCAAGCTGGCCTTGGACATCGAGATCGCGACCTACAGGAAGCTGCTGGAGGGAGAGGAGAGCAGGTGGGTGCAGCCTGTGTGTTTTACATGAGGAAGGGTCTAGCCCTTTGTTCCCATCACTTGGGCACATTATGAGGGCCTGATTCCAGTTTCTGCAGGGAAATACAGAAGAGAAAACCTTGCATTTTAAACTTATTTCTGGTCCTGAAAATGCTTTGGCTGAAGAGCCAAACTGGCAAGTTCTGGGGAAAATTTGATACTTTTGGTGAAAATATGCAAAGAAGAAAAAAGTTGTTTTCCATCATACGTTTGATGCTGTAGCAGAAAATTTCCAAGTGGCTTAAATCCCCATGGAATTAGGACAGAGCTCCTGTGCTCTTTCAGCCCCCCTGCAGGTGATAACAGAGCTTGTAAATGTAGGGCCAGAACAAAGCGCTGGATGGCACACTTATCTTGTCTGAATTATTTACAACAGTGGTAATAACTCACTGCCATTGTCTTCATCCTCAGCACTGAGGCCCTGGGGGAACACTGAGTAATGCAGAGTCTAACCTGTCCTCTTCCTTTTTGCCTTTGTGTTTTTCTTCTCTAACAGGTTGGCTGGTGATGGAGTTGGCAGCATCAACATCTGTGAGTTGATTTTATGATTTATAATAGTTACACATAGCCACGTGCCTATAGAAAATGCAGGTGGGGACCAGCTGGGCCTGCATGCAGGAGCCTCATAGTGTCCTGCCTTAGTTTCTGCAACCCAGATAGCCCCCTTCTTAAATGAGACCCCCCTGAGACAATTGATAGTGCTGCTGGCTCCATGGCAGACTTCAGCTCTAACTCATCTATATGAAATTTAACTTGGGGGAATATTGATCTTTCTTTCCTCCCATTTTTGCATGTAGAAAAATGTACTAATGAGAAAGGGCATTGCCTGGACTGGAAGTTAGTGCAAAGGTGACGGTAGAGGGTGTCTTTCCAGCTTGGGAAGCATTGCATATTCACCTTGCCTGGACATTGGGCAGATGCTGGCATCTTGGAGATGCTGTCCACAGCTCTAAACCAGTGGCTCTACTTTTCATTCACTTAATTGCCACTGATAGCTGGTGAACTACATGCCCACAGCCTCTTTGGTGCACCAAAAGATGAGCTGAATGTGTTTATGGTATGGGGTTCTCCGTGCTGCAGGAGGTCCTGAGCCAGACTGAACGATGGAGAAGGGGATGGACTGCTCAGCCCTCACATGCATCTGGCTTGGCACAGACAATAAATGCTCTGGGCCAAAGTGTAACAAGAGATTAGTGTCCCAGGCCCTGTGTTTTGGAGGAGATCACAGAGAGTTTTCATCTGGTTGCTGCAATTTAAAAATGCACTTTTTGTGAGAGTGCCAAACTGGGTTTGAAGTTCCCTGGCGTTCACGTTTGGTTTGCTTCTCTCTGTGCCACAGCCGTGGTCAGCTCCAGCGGTGGAGGTGGCTATGCCAGTTCCAGTGGATTTCTGGGAGGAGGAAGTGGAGGACGCCTTAGCCTGGGAGCAGGCATGGGCAGCGGGGCGCTCAGCCTCTCCTCTGGGGGTAGCTCCAAATCCTACACCATAACCACAACCTCGTCCACCAGGAGAAGCATCAAGAAGTAACTACAGGAACGAAGATCAACGGTATCCATTACATGGGAGGAGGGAAACCATAGAAAGAAAAGCCTTGTTGCCTTCCTTTTATAGGACAAATTGGCTGCAAAATTTCTGCAGTAATGAATGAATTGGAATAAGACATACCAGAGTACCTGACCCTGCCACATAATGCCTAAGGCTTGATCCTGCACTGTTGAACTTAGTGGGAACCATTCCACTGAGAGCAGGTTCAAGCCTGTAGGGTGAAATTTATCCAGTGAAGCAGGCGGGATAACGCTTTTGTTACTTGTGTGCTTGGTACCCCCTGCTCAGGGCTGGATTTCACCCTTTGAAGGCCAAAACAATCATTTGAGTGGCAAGTTATTCCACATTTCTGCTGTGGTTTTGCAAAAGAGACCAGATTATCTCCCTCTTAATATGATTTGGAAGATTTTATTCCCTTAGGCTCCTCAGAAAATGCCAACCCTTGTTCAGCCTGGGTTTGTTTTCTTAAAGTATACCAAGAAGAAAACAGTGAAACTGTTTTGGGTTTCTCCTTATTTTCTTTGGAAATGGGCTCAGAAATTGAATTCAGCAATTCTCCTCTGAATGAGCTGATTTCTTACCAAAGGCAATGCAGACATATTCAGGTTCTTTATAGCAAAGTAACTTGTAAACAAGCTCGCCCACCCATGCCGTCTCCTTAATAGAAGCCCAAAGCTTAAGGGATATGAAGTTGCTTAAAATTATAAGTAGCAAACTAAAATGGGAGATAACATTCCCCATCCTTGGGTGTCTCTGTTTACGATCCTATATTTCAAAGTGTATCTAGTGATATCTGGTGTCTTTACTACAGTTAGGGAAAAAGCGTGTTTTGTTGATGCATCATTACAATAACTACTTGTTCCTGCCAAAATGTGTCTTCAACTTAAACATGCCAGGGAAAATGGTTAGGTCATTACTGCAGTAGGAAGAATTGTTAGATAAATAACTCAAAGAAACTGCACAGAATTGTTGTATTGCATGCTCAGCCATGTCCTAGCAGTGTATCTTTCATTGACGTTTTATGCCTTTGTGGTCTGAGACCTTGTCATGAGGCCATTAATAAAGTTTCTCTATTGCGTGCTTCTTCAGTCCCAGCAGTGTTCCTTGTCTGGGCTGCCCTGGATACTCAGGAGCTCTGGAAAACATCCAATGTTATCCACCATCCTCCTGTCTCCAGAGCCTGCTCATGGCTGTGTCCCCTGGAGCAGTGCTACGCTGCGGTCAGGGTCAGGATTTAGGGTTTGCTGCCTGCACAGTCTTTTGTTCCTGCGTGAATTTTACCCACCTGCTTTGCACCGAGTCTGGGCAATGGGATGATGGGACTGGTTTTGTTCAAGCGGTTGGCTTCAGCCCAGCCCCTGCTAAGGACTCAAACTGACTGAGACCAATCCCTCTCTGAGCACCATCTTCCTCTGCTGAGCCGAGAGGAGCTAAACATTGGAGGAGACTCCTCTCTTGCAGATGGCCAAAGCTTGGAGAGGTGAATCTGGGCCTTGCAGTGTATGGACAACTCATTCCTGCTCCTTTTGGCGCAGTGTGGGGTGAGATGGGCTCACCCCTGGGCGGTTTGTGCTTGCTCCCATTCTCCTTGTAGGGCCATGGTGCAGATGCATTGCGAGCCCTTGCTGGAGCTGCTGTTGTAGAAAGCATCACCCCAGTGGGGATGGGACCAGGCAGAGATTTTGTAGTCACTGAGAAAAGCTGTTTCCTCCAGGGTGAGGATGGCGACAACGCTGCCAGTGCCTTGAAGGATGCTTTACCCACCCGTGCGCTACCCAGGCCCCATCGCTCCGGTACCCAACACAGCCCAGCACCTCAAGTCTGAGCAAGCACAGTGTTGAGCCTGTGCGTGGTTTTACTACAGGTGCGGCACTAATGGCAGGGAGGGGAGGAAGCCAGGGTGCCCAGCAGAGCTGTGTTATCAGTGGCCTGGCACACCCAGCTCACGGCTTTTATGCCATGGCCAAAGGGTAAAATGAAAAAAATGCCCTGAAGTTAAATGAAATGAAAAGCTGATAGACGTTGCCCAGATGTTTTTGGCAGGAGGTGCCACTGTTTGCTGTCGCGATGAATTGTGGGTCTCTCTTAGCATTACAAGAGATTAGCAGGGCTCCACTGCTGCTTCTTGAATTTTCAGGTGTGAGGCATGCAGCACTGACCTGGGAAGGGGCACTTGCAATCTGCGTGGCTGCAGCTTTTCCACATTAGCAAAACCACATACACTGCACACTGATGATGGGGAAAAGGGCGTCTGCATGCTCCAGGAAATGCTGTGAAATATCTTTGTGAGTCCATGCAGATGGATGCCCTTTGTGCTCTCTGCTCATTCTTTGGATCTGGTCTTGGTTCAGTCTGGGGTCATAAGTGGAGCTGGTTAAAATTTAATCTCTCTGCTTCAGAGGGGATGCCGATCTTAGGAAGGCAAAGTGCCCTGAATTAGTGTAAAAGCAGGTGTATTGCAAGTCTCCTGTTGAGTGCAATTTCTGCAAGTTGGATTCAGGAGAGATAACTCAGCTTCAGAAGCAGCTTTGCAATGGAGGAGACTTTTGCACTTCCAGAGAAAGGAGACAGACGTGACCCAGCACCCACCCACTCCAGAGCCCTCCACCACGGAGCACTACCGCTGCCAGACCGAGCAGCGTGTGAGCTGCTTTCGGTGCTGACGCCTGCTTTTCAGCAGGCAGAGCCATCACCCAGCTCTCGTGGCTTGGGCTGAGGCTCCTGGGGTGCCAGACTTTGCCTCCCACTGCTTGTCTGAACAGCAGCTGAGCTTCCCGTGCTGGCGGGCAGGATGTCACCGCTGGAGAGAACAGAGGCAAAAAAGAATGATGATGGGAGGATGCAGGTCTCAGAGGTATTAAAAGGTAGAAAAAGCCATCAAACAACCCACAAAGCAGTATTTTTTGGCCTCCCTGTTTTGCAGCAGTGACTAAGAAGAATAACAAGCATCTGAAATGTGCGTAAAATCAAACAGAGTCAAAGCATGTTCATGTTGGTGCGGGGCCAGGAACGTGCTGGTCTGGATGTGGGAGTGAACCAGCAAGCTGCTGTGGTTCATGGAGGAGCTGTGAATTTGGGCTCAAAGAATTTAGGGAAAGTTGGAGGTCGTTTAGCTTTGCAAATGTGAGTTGAGGGTAAGATGGAGCCCAGCAGAGAGCAAAAGACAACTGCAGAGGGCAATTTCTCCTTGAATGGGCAAGTGCTTTGACCCATCTGATGCCATCTCAGGGACGCTATTCTGTTCATGCTTTGGGGCAGGGTAAGGGCAAGGCATCACAGCCCCATTTTCCCTCCTGTTACAATTTAGGCAGGTAATACTACACAGTCAGGAGCACATCCATCTTTCTATACTCAGCTGTGTAGTTTCAGCCTTCCACAGTACAGCTCCATAACCGTACCTGTTGCTTTTGTCACTGAAACATCTCAAAACCCTTAGTTATTATCATGTCAGTTAAACATCTTAATAGCTCTGCCCTGGTGAGAGCATGTTAATGGCTGCGGAGGTCGCTCCATGCATGCACTTTAGTCACAGGCATTAAAGATGCCCAGTTGATTTCATTTGGGTGGTCAGTAGTATGTCCTCTTTCTAAGCCAGCTCTACAAGGAGATCTTGCTGCTTCCTGAGCACATAAAAGCAGTGAAATTGGTTTTTTTCCTTCTTACAGTGTTGCTGGTTTCCATGCAGGTGTAAAGCCCAGCTATTCCTGCCAAGGCACAGAGCACTTCACGTTCTGCCTCTTGCTCTCTGCAGTGTAAATGCACAGTAATTATACTTTATAATACTTATTTAAGCATACTTTATAAGTTTTCATCTAATTCTTTAAGCAATACTTCTTTGAGTGTTTTTGCCATCTCTGCTTGCTCTTGGCCTCTGTATTTCTTCCCTCCTAGTATGCTGTCCTGATTTTCTCTCTCCAGTTAAGTGCCCCAGCTGAATGCTGTGTACCTGCTGACCATCCCTGGTATTTCCTTGTGGGCTGCGTTGCAGGATGCGGTCACTTTGCTCCATCCACCTACCCCTGCGGCACTGCTGTACCACCAGCTGCAAACACGGGGATGCAAGGTTGGACATGTGTTATTTTAATAACAGGACTGAGGTCACTGGCAATGCGGTTCTGTCCACAGATGTCAGAGGGTTTTACAAAGGAGGTAAGTTCTGCTCTTCTCTGTAGGGAAACTGAGGCAGAAGAAGGGCAAGGACTCAGATGCAACCAAGCGTGGGAAGAAGGCTGCATGCAGATGGTGGGGAGCTTTCTTCCCCACTGTTGAAGCTGCATTTGCCTCAGTTTCCATCAGTTTTTCAGTAACTGCTAAGGCCAAAACCCTGCTCTGCAGTTGATTGAGATTTTCATCTGATGTTTAAAAGGAATTAAATGGCATGAAACCAGTATGGGCTGGGCTGAGTCCCCAGCTCCACTGGGCAGGGAGGAGTAAGGTGGGGGGGAGACAACTCCTCTCCTGGGAAGGCTTCCACCTGGGAAGCCTAATTAGCTTGATGGGAAGCCTAATTGGCTTGATGAGGTTATAAAGGGCAACACCCCATACAGCAGAGATGAAAAGAGGTCCTCCAGTCTCTTGGAGGGGGTGGGATTTTGTGCTCTTGCATTGGGGCAGCCCCAGCCTGGGAAGAGGTCTGTACCATGGGCTGGGAGCTGGGTCTGCTTTGCCTGAGGGGTTGCCGCAAGGAGCTGAGCGGGATCTGGTCTGGTGCCAGGGTGAGAGGAAGGACAAGGGGCTGCAAAACCATCCCACACCTCCTGGTATCTGGCTTTGAGGAGTTCCCAGGCAACTTGAGGCAATTGATGGTTTTAAGGGGATTTAGCAATCAATGATAGTAATAAGTTTCAGTTAGCTTTATGCAAATTGCTAGAGCATCTTTGCTTAGTCAGTGCCTTCTAAATGTTTTTGTTTGTTTGTTTTTCCTGGGGGAAAAAATCATTTGGAGCTCCACCCTGTCCTAATGAAGACATCTAACCTGGGAAGCACCTGTTTCTTGTGCCGTGCTGGCAGCCAGCTGTGTTGTAAACACTCCGTGTTGGGTGGAATGGATCCTGCTCCTTGTGTGCAGGTGTGAGGCAGGAGAGAGCTGTGCCTTTGACTCAGTGGTGCTTTGGAGAGAGGTTATAACCTGTCTCCTTGCATAGCCGCTCATGTGCTTGGAGAATAGATGTGTTGGGGGTTATGGGAGACCACTGAGGTGTGGTGTCTGGGTTAGGAAGGAAGAGCTCCGGTGGATGGAGGGCTTGGCCTGTGTCTGTTTTAGACCCCATGAGCTTTGGCTTTTGAGATCCTGGAGCAGAGACAAGAATTAACCCTTCTTTCCCCAAATTAAGGTGTCAAATGAAGGTAACTGAGTTGCTATGTCAATTTATTGGAGATGCAAGACTAAAACTAGAATAAAAGCCACTGACAAAATGCACGGTCATTAGAAATAAATCACTACTTCCCCTTTTCCTTCAAACAGGGTTAATGCACTTAACTAGCAGTTTAGTGTGCTAGGTACTGGACGACTAGGAAGGCAATTGATGCTGGTCCCATGTGGTTAAGATTGTGTTTGGATCCCTTGAACAAGCTCACACAGGAGCTTTTTGTCTTAGGGCCAGTCCCTTTCATACCTGACAGCGGACTCTGGCCTCCAGACCCTTCAGTTATGATGGCATTTATGGCAACAGATGAGGCAGACCATTAAAAACCCAGAAGAAAAAGGAAAGTTGAGGATCAGTTCCAAAACAGGTAGTGCAAGTACATAAGCAAACTGCCTTCAAACAGCAACAGCCCTTGAAATCTATCCTTTGGGGCAAATAAGCAATGAAATCAATGCAATGTCTAGGGAAACTACAAGCTAGGCAATTCTAGGCGAGTTTTGCTCGTGCCAATGGTGTATGTGTAATCTGAAAGGCCAACTGATAAAATTAGGTTGATCCAGGGTGGGAGCTGCTATAACAACTGGGCTGGAAAAAGCTCTAATGAAAATGCTCTTAGATAGAAGGTGCCCTCTCTCCCACTTCATTTTAATCCTTGAATATGTAGGAGTAGAAAGAGCAGCGAACTACACCAAAGGCATCTTGTTTTAACTGTGTAATGGGAGTGATGAGGGGGATTTTAGCCCTTCTTGCTCCTAGATTCCCTAGCAGAAATAGCAGAACTCTTGAGCATAGAAAAGACCTCTTTGCCTTTTGTATCCCCATGTAATGGAAAATGGGAATGCAGTCTGGGGGAGCTGGGTGCACACCAGCTCTGGCTTGGCTGTTGCTGTGTGTTGGCAGAAAAGTATTTGTGTTGCTTTGTTTCCAGCCTTGTCATTTATCTACAGCTCTTTACATGTTACTCCTGGCTGACTTGGTCATGGACACCACCTTCATGTAGGAGCTCCTTGTGCTCCTGCTGCTAACACCGTCACCGCAGCTCACCACTGTGCCACAGACCCCCACGCTGCTGGTCCAGCATGACTTTCTGTTGGCTGAGGCATGGGCACTTGCAAAGTCAGGCTTGGGGCTGTAGGTGAGACCTCCCTGTGAATGGCAAGCAGCTGCAAAAGGCAGAGCAAAGCTGAGTTTCAACTTACGGAATTCCCTGCAGAAAAGGCAGAAGATGCCTGAGTTTGGTAGAAGGTGAATACTCCAACTTACAGGTGTTGATGGGGAAGCCACCTTCTGCACAGAGCCTGCAGAGAATGGGAAAAGGTTGCACGTTATCAATCTATCTTGAAATGCAAAGCCCTTTAGCCTCGACTGTGAGCCTGGCCCTCTCTAGCCTATCTCTTGCTGTTGGACTGGCTGCTTGGGTGGGTTTGGGCTGATGGAGGTCTGTTAGGACTGATTGGAAGAACTGATCGCCATCGGGACTATGTGGTTGATTTGCAGCGCAGCAGCTCTGCAATAGCACTGTCCAGTTGTTTTTCCTTTCAACACATGCATCTAAAGTAGCTTGTGCAGCCCTGCTAGGGTCTGTCACTCACCTGGTCTCCTCTCCCTCCAGCAGCTTCCTATAGGTGACGATCTCGATGTCCAGGGCCAGCTTGGCGTTCGCGAGTTCCTGGTACTCGTGGAGCTGCCGGGTCAGGTCTGCCTTGGTCTGCTGCAGGGCTGTCTCCAGCTCAGAGAGTTTGTGCTTTGCATCCTTGATGGTTGTTTCCCCACGCTGCTCAGCGTCAGCCACGGCAGCTTCCAGCTTGCAGCGCTGCAAGGAGCGAGACACGGTCAGTCTTAGCTGTCTCTTGCTATCTTCAAACGTAATGCATTATCAAGAGAGGGGTTTAAAGTCTGGTTGTGCATTCAGCCCAGCAGTAAGATGGACATGCAGTCACCTCTGGCAGGGGTTTGAGGGAGCTGGACATGCAGTTTCGGTGCTCCGTTGTGTTGCTTACAGGGGATGGGATGCTGTAACTGTATCTGCCTTCAGGTACTGCATGAGCTGGGCTTTAATGCAGCCCTAGTTGGAGCAGGAGAGTCCCAGCTGACGCGCACCCTTTGCAGGGTGCTATGGCACCATTTAATTTAGTTGTGGAAGCTTGCAGGAACAGTGATTTGCTCTCTGCTCTGCTGAAACAACCAGACCTGGCTGTGCTTACCTGGTCCTTGGCGCTTCTGACTTCTCTGTTCAGTCTCTGGACTATCGGTGTCAGCTCAGCTATCTTGTTTTTTGTCTCTCGCAGGATGTCAGCGTTTCTGCCTGCAGTGACTCGCTGCTCCTCAAACTGAAAAAGCCCAAAATTCGTTGTTGCATATCCCCAAAACACATGCTTTGAGTTAAATCAGAGCAAATCAGGAGAATGGGGGGGCTGTTTCTCAGCATTTGAAGTTGGTCTGAAGAGAGAAACTGCACCCAAACCCTCCCTCTGCCAGATTTTCTCACCTTGCTTTCATACCATGCCTGCGCTTCTGCCCGGCTCCTGCGGGCAATGTCCTTGTACTGAGCCTTGACGTCCACAGTGATGCCATCCAAGTTGAGATCTCGGCTGTTGTCCATCTGCATGATCACTGAAGTATCTGAGATCTGCGCCCGCAGCTGGTGGATTTCCTGGTGGCGACATGGGGTTGAGCTGGTCAGAGAGATGCTGGTCCTGCTGTGCCCTCAGTCCAGCCCTAAACTGGTGTGTCACCCACACTGTGCAACGTGCTCCTCCTTTGTGGTGACCGTGCAGAGATGAATTGCCGATTCTCAGCCTTCACTGGAAGGGATGACCACTGCCCTGTGTTACCCGCTCTTCCCCTGTCCTTTGGGATAAGCAGCTTCAAAATCCACCTGGGAAACGCAAACAACGGCTGGAGCAATAGGGAGGCTTCTTACCTCTTTGTAGAACATTCTCAGGAATTCAACCTCTTCTTTCAGGCTTTCCACCTTGGCTTCCAGCTCTGCTTTGTTTAAGAAAAAACAGTCCGCATCCTGTAGACATGTTGGGGATAGAAGAAGGAAGTTTGTTAGTGGGAGCAGACTCAGGGCTACCCTTGGGGCGAGGGACTTTCAGTGCTGGTGCTGTGACCGTGTGCCAGCTCCCAATTAACACAGTTGCTGCTGATTTGAGTTCAAGTAAACGCAAGCACCAGCTCCTGCTTGTACTTGTTTTGTGTGCTGCTTTTGGGAAATAAATCACTGCATGCACCCCAAAGACCTGAACCCGGAGAGGAAAGCTCGAACAACCCCTTCCTCACCTTCTTCAGGGCCATAAACTCACTCTCAGTGCACGTCCGCTGGCTGCATTCGTCCTTGTGCCTGCATGGGAAAATGGGAGATTTTGTTTGAGTTCAGCACAATTACATCTTTGTTTGGGTTTCTGCAGGCCTTCTTTCAAGAAGTGAAACTCCTAATTTTTTTCCTTCTCCCCAAACAGTGTTTTGGGATGCTTTGGTCTTGTTTCGTAGCCCATGGGAAAGCAAACGTGTTTTCAGAGAGGTTTCTGTGTCTTTACAAATTTGCAGAAGAACTGTTTTCATTTGACCTCTGCAATAGCAAATAGCTCCTGAACTTTTCTAAATGTTAATTCCTTGAATTAGGAAGGAGAGAAAGAGAACCTGGAAGAGGGACATCCTCTGTTGTTTCCTCCATCCCTGTGTAAATTGGGACCTTGTTTAGTATACTGAGATCCTGGTAGATCTCTCCATCTTCCAACTGGTTCTCTGGGAACCATTTACTGCCACGAAAAGTTCACAGCTTCTGCCTGTTTACAAATCTCTAACAACATTTTGAGCCCTGCACTCACATTTCTCTGGTTTTTACTTACATTTTCTTGTTGGTTTCCAAAACCTGCTGTGCTGCTTTCAGGTCCGTTTCTAACTGGGCTCTGTTGTGCCCCAGTGCTTCCAGTTGCTTCTTCAAGTTACCAGTATAAGCTTCTAACATGGGTATGATGGTATTCTTGCAGTGTTTTTGACCCTGCAAAAAGCTCCACTTGGTCTCCAGCACCTTTTTCTGCTGTTCCAGGAATCGAACCTGAATCCCAGAAAGCAAAATAGGAAACGAGATGAGGATTAAGAGCTCATGAGAGCCAGTGTCCATGCAACAGCAGTGAAATGTGTTCCTGCTCTTGGTACACGTGAACAGCTCTTGGTACAGCGTTTCCTAATCCAGTGTGCTTTTGTTCTGGGCCACCCATGTAGAAATGCACAAAAAACCCTAAGCACTTCTAGAAAGGAGAGATTTGCAATAAATTGGGGATGTGCAGAGAGGAATGGGAAGGAACTGGAAGGCTGATTAAACTGGTCTTGGCTTGTTCCCTCTCTGTAGTCAGGCCGAGAGATCAGAGCAATAATGCCTGTACGCTGAAGCTTCCCCAGTGGCTCATAACCACCTCAGTGCTCAATTGGCACCCTTATGCAAGTTGCCCTCAATGTCTAAAATGAGTTGTCTGAGAAGGATTCCATGCCCTCTTCATGCTAGACACCTCACTTGGACTCTAGTGCCTGCAGACTGGAGCTGGGGAGGGGGTCTCAGCTCACCTTGTCAATGAAAGAAGCAAATTTGTTGTTGAGAGTCTTGATCTGCTCCTTCTCTTGGTACTTCACTGTTTGCATGTTGGGATCCAGTTCCAGTCTGAGCGGTTGGAGCAGTTGCTTGTTGATGGTGATGGGTATGATGGTGCATGGTTTGGAGACTCCGCCAACCCTGTAGCCAAAGCCAGCACCTCTGTAGCCAAACCTTGTGCCAGCTGCACCAAAGCCATATCCATGTCTTGGAGGAGGATGTCTTCTGACAGCTATTCTGGGCCTGGAGCATGCCATACCATCAAGGCTTCTCCTGCTGAAGTAACCCAAACCACGGTAGCCCATGCCACCACCCCAGTGACATGAGACGGTGCCGAAACTACATCGATTTCTGGGAAGAGCTACAGAGGAAGAGATGAAATTCCTGATGGCATGGCCGGAGCTGATGCTGTAGGAACAGCAGGACATGGTTGCTGGTGGGAGGGGGATTGTGCCGGCGATGTGCTGGGAGCAGATTCTAGGGTGCAGTTCCCTCTGATCACAGTGGAGCACCTTCCTTTTATTTACATGGAAAATGGGGCGAGGCTGCATGAAACTTCCACAAAATGTTTATGATGCAAAGAATGTGAACTACTTAGCATATATTGTGCTTACCAACAGAGAAAGCAGCAGCATATTTGCCCCATTTACCAGCAGAGAAAGCAGCACCATATTTGTCCCATAAGGGTTTGAAGAATGCTGTTAAGTCAGAGGGGTCAATTTAGGTCTTGTGTAATAGCAACAAAAATTAGGGGAGTTGTGCTGGGTGAATTGTTTTCAGGAAACATGGTAAAAATTGCATGTTCCCCTTTTTATAGGTTGAATGAAGTGGAACTGAGACTTTGAAAATGTAAAATGCTTTTCTATCAAAGGAGATCTTTATGTTTTGCTGGTACCTCAGCTTGCAAGTAAGAGCTTTGAAGGAGAATGCGATTCAACCTGCTGTTTAATAAAAACTATCAGTAATAAATGTGAATTTACTAAGAATTAATGAACAAAGTCTTGCAGGCAGGTTTGTGGTAAATGACTATGTTTTGTTGGTTCTGCCTATAAAAATGCAATGTTTTAATGCCAGGGAAGCATCTGTGGGGCCAAATCTATTTCTCAAGGTGATTTTTCTGCAGGTTGCTGATGTGAGTGTTTTCCAACGTGGTAATTTATTTGGGGGGAATTGCTGATTAGTTGAAATTGAAACCGATGCTTGGAACGTGGTAGCTTTTGCAGACACTTTTATTGGCCAAATCCTTGGAAAACTGGCGTCTCCTCCTCCCCTCATCCCTCAGCTTGAAAGTTGGGTTCCCACCTGGTTTGGGGCAGGGCCAGGCTTGGTCCTTTGCCTTCTAGGTTGGGCAAGTGCCCTCGTTGCAGCATCAGGGCTTGGACTCTTCCTGGCTTTGCTTTTCACCCGCATGCGTGTCTGGGTCCTTGGAAGGACAGGGATAGCGTTGGTGCCTGCGTCACTGCGTGGGAGGGCGGTGTGTTTTGTAGGGGCAGGGTGGAAGTTTCAAACTAATGATTTTGTTTTGTTTACTGCATTTCTTTCCCCTTCCCTATTCAGTGGTTGGTTACAATTGCAAGCTAAAATTACCAGCTTTGCTGTAGGGATCTGGGCGCCCTTGGATGCTTCGGCTCCAGGGCTCACAGACATCCTTAGGGGAATGGGGCATGAGAAGATCTAGGGCGAATCTTGTGGTTGTCCTCAATCCTCATGTGTCAGACCATGTTTCTCCAGGCTGTGGTTGTACTTTATCGCTTTCTGGCTGCATCTCTTCTCTCCCCATTGTCATCCTAGGAAACGCTTTCTGCTTTTGATGAGACAACTGGCACCAAATGCAACTGTACAGTGCTTTTGGGACAGAAATCCGAGGACAGGGGTTGCAGAGAACCTGACCCTAAAGGAGAGAGGGACAGTGGATAAAGCTGCAGGTTCACCAATGCAACAAGGAAAGGCACTTGAATATGTTGTTGAACTGACTCCAAAAAAACTCAAAATGTTTTGAGCTAGCTCAGTTAAGCAAAATAGTTCAAATCAGGTTGAGCATGTTGGGAGTGGGGTGTTTTGGTGCTACTTTATTTTTTTTTAATGGGAAAATCTTAATTAAAAAAAAAAGGTTTTGTTTCAGAAAAACTTTCTGATAGGAGAACTCCTCCTCTTCCAGCCTACCACATGCTTCAGAACAGGAAAATATCCTCTGGTTTTGTTCTTGTTCTTGTGATCTCTCACATCCCAGCTGCATTCACACAGCCTGACTGGAGCCGCTTTCAGCAGGTCTGTCATACCACAGTGATTATCAGCCCCCAGGGAGTTTCCCCCCTCTTTCATCCCGGTTTTAGGGGATTATGTCCAGCGGTATGATGATGTTCACCGAGTGATGGACATGGGAGGAGCGTGGTGGGTGACATGTGGTGTGACCTGATCTCCTCACACCCCTCCCTGTTCCCATGGACCAGCTCTGCACCCCACATTTTCCAAAAGCTAGTGGATCTCTTGAGGACTCTGATGAGAGATGGCCTTGGCCTTGATTTGATTTTGGGTCTGGTTTTTTTTTTTTTTAATTGTCTCGTTAATGTGTGTTTTGTAATTCTGCAAAGAGGAGCTATATCATGTGATCTCAGATTTGCTGTTTCAGTTTATTAGGGAGAAATGGAGAAAAAACAAGGTAAAGGCAAACAACAAGCATCACAGAGGAATTGGATGATCTAGGTAAGACTACTTTGCTCCCTTTGATTTTTAACTTTCCATTGCAATCATGTCCATAAGCTGGAGGAGCAGAAACTTCTATTGCTTAGTATTTTTAACCCCATTATCTTCCCAGACAAGCGGTTCTGTAATACATATGCTGTGCTAACTATGCACTTGCCAGGAGGAACAGGCAAAATTTGGGAAGAGCCAGTTTGTAAACCTACAGCACAAAGTAACAACAAGAGCAAGTTTCGTAACAGTAGTGAATGTTGCAGGGAATAAGCGATGTGGACTGGACTGAAAGCTTTAAAATCCCTCCAGTGTTTTCTGTGTGTGCTGCTGATATGAACTGGTAGAGTGAGGACCCTCCTTTCAAATGCTTGTTGTTTTTTTAGTATTTTGACCTGCAGGAGGTTGTATAGGACACAAGTTTGACATTGGAACTCTTCCCAGTCACAACACTGTATCCTCCCATGGTACAAGGAGCACAGATGTCTCTAGAGCCAATGATGCTTTTGCCACAGACGCCTCCTCCGGTCACTAGATCTCTGCTTCTGAATAGGGATCTGCTGCTGGAAGAATAGCTACCACCAAAGCATGGGTCAGTATTGCATGCGATTCTTCCTGGGGATCAGCACACAGCTGCAAAGAAAATATTTCAGCGAGGGATTTCCATCCTACCGCATAGATCCAGAGGGACTAGTAGGAATAGGGATTTGTCTGGTACTTACAAATATTCACAGGGCAGCCACCATCTATGCACAGCCTTAGAGGGATGAGGAAAATGGAGATGTGAAAAACCAAAGTCCGTATTTAGTGTGTGTCCCTAGAACTGGCCAATAATTGGGAGATTTGGGAATGTGGGACGCTGCTGGCAGGCCAGGCGAGTGCTTTGGACCTACCATGACTCAACTGCTCAGCTCATGCCTTTGAGGAAGTTTTCCCCGAGTCCGGTGTTGGGCCCAAGCAGGGAAAGGGTATTGCTTTGGTGCTGTGTGTGTAAGTGTGAACAAGCCCCGGCCAAGGGCTTTCTCTCTGTCCCCTCAATTAGCTTGTGTGTGAGTAGGTACCCAGTCATTTTGGCTGGGGTGGCAAAGGTGGCCAGGCACGACTGTGCCTGGGCCTTTGGCTTGATAAGACCTGAGGCTACACAAGACATCTTCTTTATTCATGCAACGTCTTCCATTTGGGGGAAGACCTAAATGCCCGAGTGCGTTAGGAGCTTTTGACTTTGTCAGGCATTTGGGTCCATAAATGCTGGAAAGTGCTTTGGGAAATGTCGCTCCCTAGGACATTGGGTCTCAGTGGGATTTACTCCAATTACAGAGGGGATGGCTCATCAGGCAGACTGTGAGAGGTGGTTGTGGGGTTAGGTGTGTTACCGTTTCTTCCTTGCAAGCATTCTGCAGGGTTGTACCAGCACTACCTGCTCTCCTCTCCATCCAGCAGCTTCTTGTAGGTTGCAATCTCAATGTCCAGGGCTGGGTTGACATTCATGAGCTTCTGGTACTCATGGGCCATGTCCTGCTTCACCTTCTGCAGGGATACCTCCAGCCTGGAGAGTTTGCACTTTGCATCCTTGCCAATCGCTTCCCTGTGCTCCTCAGTTTCAGCCATGGCTCCTTCCAGTTTGCGTCTCTGCAGGTAGGAGATTTTCATTACTGCCACTTATTTGCATGTGCTGTGAATAGTTCAGAGCTCTCGAATCTGCCTGGCTGTGTATTCGTCCACCTGTGCTTTGTTATATTTTCAGGCTCTATTGGTAAACCTCCAACTCCGGGATGATTCTCTCTGCCTAGCTGAGACGTTGGTGTATGTGTTGTCTTCTCACTGCAGGTCTCTACTGATGGTAGTTCAGTTATTAGTTGTAATAGACCATTTTACTCTGTACTCTGGATTACAGGCAAGTCTTAGAGTTGAGCAGCTGACATGTATTTCATCAAAACTGGCTTTATTGCTCCCTTGCTCTAGCAGAGGAGTTTTGGAAAGCCACAACCTGGGAGTTGCGATTGACACATTATTGCCCCTGAGTCATCCTTACCTGGGCTTTGGTGTTTTCGTGTTCTCCAGTCAGTCTCTGAATCACCCGATTCAGCTCCACAATTTCATTCTTTGTGTTACGCAAGCTGTCGTCGTGTTTGCCAGTGGTTTCTCTCGGTTCCTCATACTGAGGAGAGAGAAAACACAATGAAAATAAATACCAGATTGAGGACATGAGTCAGTAATTAAACCTACTATGTGATTCTGGGAGTGCAGTCCTGGATCTTGAGCTTTAAGGCAAAAGCCTTTGTCACTGGGGGACACGAATGACTCATTTACACAGTAGCAGCTCTGTGTGAAGACGTTAACAGAGAACGTGTCACATAGAGAAAACACAGCAGGTGGCTAAGAAAGCAGACCTTTAAGGAGCCTATTCAACCCAAATTAGGAAATCTGAAGAAGCAGAGCCCATAGCAGAACTGGGGCATAACTACTTCTGTGAGTGTCCATCATGACTCACCTTGCTGTAGTACCAGGACTCTGCATCAGCCCAGCTTCTTTTGGCAGTGTTGTCATACTGAGCTTTGACATCAGCGATGATGTCGTCCGTGTCCAGGCTTCAGCTGTTGGCCATTTGCACAATAACATAGGTGTCTGAAATGGACGCTTGGCGCTGAGTAATTTTGCAGGGGTAGCAGCAAGATTGTCAGTCGTCTGCACTGGAGGCGTTTTCCCCGTGGATCTCCACGGCGTGGTGACAAGGAGATGCGGTGTGCTCTGTGTACCATGGCTTCAGGCTCATTGCAGAAAACCCAAAGAAGGATTTCCTGGTTTAATCTTTCTGGCTTCTACCTTCACCATCAAGTTGAAACAAATTCCTTAGGATCTTGCCTGTGCAGTGCAGGAGTAACACCTTAGAAATCTGGAGCAATCAAGTGATGTATGCTTAAAACACCAAAAATCTCTGTGATCGTTAGTGATGGGTTGTGGGAGCCTAACTCCACAGACCCCCTAAAGAGGCATGGGGTGGAGGAAAAAGGAGCGGAAAAGGAAAAGCTGTTACCACTTCATACAGGCTCCTCAGGCAGTTGATCTGTTGGATGAAGGACTCCACCTTGGCTTCCAGCTCAGCTTTGTTCACATAGGCGCAATCCGCGTCCTGAAGCGCGTCAAGGGTTTATGAAATGAAAGAGCAAACTGCTTAGTGCCAGCAAGTGATGTGATTACAAACTCTTAGGGCTGCTCTTTTCAAGGCCATAAATTTTACCATGCTATTAAATTGTTTTGCTCTCTTATCCTCTTAGGCAGAAGACAAAAAGCACTAGACACAGAGGAGAGAGGGAAAGGTTTTGACCAGTTGGGGTATACAAACATCCCAAATGAACAAGCTCAGCTAAAACTGACTCACTTAAGGTGGGATTCAACTCTTTTAGTTAAATCTTCCCAAAAGTTGGCCTTTAGGTCCCTCTAGAGTCTCTGGAGAGTGAGAGGCAGTCTCACCTTCTCTTTCCAGCAATATTGGCTGCTGTTCATACTAAAAGCCCAGCATAAGTGTTTGAGTTGGTTTGAAATGCGCTTACCTTTTTGATCATGACAAACTCATTCTCTGCACATTTGCCAGTGGGTTTCCTCTTCATACCTGCAAGGAGAAGAAGAAAGATCACTTTGCTCCTCATTATTCAGCTTATGCAAGAATATGAATCTAATCTTCTTCTACCACCTCCAAATGCTCAACCTCAGCATGGAAACCAAGTGCTGATGCAAGTAATACACATGTACGTCTGGAGGAGATCTTGCATCTTGTACAGCCTTTGCCATCCAAAAGATAGATGAGATAAGTTCTAGCCCTAGTTTTGGAGCTTTTATCTTTTTTAAACTTTTTCTTGTGATCTTCCATGATACCCTGCATGGTGCTCAGTTCTGTTTCCAGCTTGGCTCTGTCGCTTCCCAGAACATGCAGCTGCCTCTTCAAGTTGCCAATATAACTTTCAAACATTGGCTCGATGTTGCTCCTGTAACACTTCTGTTCCTGTAGAAATCCCCATTTGGTCTCCCGCACCTTGTTCTGTTGCTCCAGAAACTTGAAACCTAGAAGTAAAACATTCAAAGTATAGTGATTTGTTATACTGGTGGCACAGAAATGAACAATTACAGTCCCAGAATCGGCAAATTGAGAGAGAAAATCTGTGAGTTATTCAGGATAGTATCAGGTGAATGGAGAAGGCATGTTAAAAACTGCCAAACAGCATCTTCTCATAAGGTTCTTCAGAAAAATGTCTTCGTTGTTATTATGCAAAAAGCATCAAGTTAGACTCGGCACTGAATTAGAGTGGGGTAAGTCAGAGGTAATCCTACTGAAGTTAGGGTTCAAGTGATATAAAAATGGGGCATTAGAGAATCAGCTTCTCTGCAGGTAACAGCAAAGCTTGATTGTCATTTGCAATGAGACTGCTTTACACCGCTCTTGGACCATGAAAATACCTTCTTGCCCCCACTGAAGGCTCCTTTTTGCTCTAAGGTGGTGCAAAATGTCTTCCTCATAAAACCCAAAGAGGTCCTTACTGCAAAGTCAGGCTGCGAGTTTTGGCTGCTGTTGCTAGTAAGCAGTTTGGCAAATGCATTCCTTGTCTTAGATGTGCCATATGGCAGCTTGTAATGGCCCTGCAGCTGCGATGCCTGTTGAGCTGGGCATCTCTTCTCTTGCCTTGTCAATGAAAAATGCAAGTTTGTTATTGAAGGTCTTGATCTGCTCCTTTTCCTGATACTTCACAGAGTGAAGGTTTGGGTCCATCTCCAGCTCGAGCAGCTGGAGCAGATGCTCATTGACTGTGACCTTGGCAACGGGTGTGCAGGTCCCCAGAGCTCCACCACCCCTGCTGCCAAAACCAGCACCTCCATAGCCCGACCCCATGCATGAGGGTCTGTAGCCATATCGCGGTAGGTGACAGCCACTGATTGCTAGCTTGGGCTTGCAGCCTGCGTTGCCACCAAGGCTTCTTGCTGCCGAAGCATCCCGGCCCGGGGTACCCCACACCACCACCTCCCCAGCACGAGACGGTGCTGGCAGTATATCTCTTCACACTTCTTGGGATCACAGCAGAGCAAGAGCTGAAACTCCTCATGCCCCCAACTCCGGAGCAGATATGGTAGGATTGGCAAGATGTCAAGACCAGCTCAAAGGGGAATGAAGGCAGAGGGAGAAGGTGAACACCAGAGCAGGATGCAATGCACGTGAGTTAACCCGGCAAGAAACCCACCGCAATGAGAAGCAGAGCTTCCACCTGCTTATGTCCCAGGAAAACAGGCTTTGGCTGCACAACCAGCCCCAAAAGACCATTTTTAAAGATGTTTATGAGTGTAGTTTGGTAATATCCCACTCGTCTCTTTTGCTGAATAGTGACCTGAGCTGCTTTTAAGTGCACACCTATTGTTGAGTTATAGGCTGCATTTCTAATTTGAATGGGAGGGAATCCCTGGTCCCATAAAAACTGCATTTGCAAACCTCCCTTTTTTTTATAGTAAGCATGAAAGAGAGAAACAGAACCAATCTTTTGATGTTTGCAGGGCACTGGGAGCGAGGGAAGGAGTGTTGCTTTGTTTTACATGTGGGAAGAGAAGAATCTGACTTAAACTCTTGGGAATATCTAGGGATCCAAACACTGGGGCTGACTTGGATTGGTATTGCATTAGCCTTTAGCCAGAGTTGCTCCTTTTGTTAACCTAATTCTATAATTTACTCCTTTCTGTCTTTCGTTTGACTTCTGTAATGTTGTTGGCCTCAAGAACAATCTTTTCATTCCCTCAGGACTGGAGATGGACCCATGCAAGCATATTTCTTGGTGCTAGGGCTCTGCTGGTCTGTAACTACAAGCAGAAAATGGGTGTAGCGAAGGGGGATGTGAGAGCAGGAGAAAGCAGTAAAAGATTTTCCAGCTCAGACCTTTGCATCAGCTGGGGAAAAAAACAAAGGTAAAGGTTGAATAGATCGAGGTGATCTCTCAAGCTACCTGTGTGCTTCTCTCCTCCACTGAATGCCCTGAAGAGGGAGTCTGTTGTTTTCCCTAGTTTTGTGGGGAGTGTGACTGACAGCAGTCTGACAGATTGACACCTCTCATTGCTTGCAGAAGAGTCCTCCATGGGGAATAGCTTACAGGAGAACTGGGCTTGGTCATTCTTTTCTGGTGAAATTGTTTGGCAAATCCCTGTGAATATAAGTTTGGAATATATATATATATAAAAAAATTTTTTTTTTTTTTTTTTTTTCAGCAAAGGAGGTGGGTTCAGAGTGACAAAGATGCAGAAAGGGCAGATAAGTCTTTTGTAGAAAGTGAAATAGTGATTTTCAGTCATGTCTTTGCTGAAATACCGAAAGGGCTGTGTGCCATGGGTGGGAACACTCTTAATCCTTTTGCCTCCAGTGGGATAAGACTGAGGGGTTAGCCCTGAAAATCTCAACCTTTTCCAAAGGTGCATTTGCTTTTATGTGATTTTCTTGGCATTCACCACGGCCTGAGAACATGTTCTGCTCCATGAAGAGGATCAGAGAGAAGTTCATGCACGCAAGCCTGAAAGCTGGCCTGCCTCATTTAGCCGCGTAACATTTTAGGGTAAAGCTGTGTGGGAGTTGTATGTGCTAAGCACTTTTTGGGACTCAGCCTAAAAGGAGTTCAGAGAGCTCAGCATCTTTCATGATTGGGCCCTGGATGCTGGAGAACAGCTGCTACATGTGATAGTTGGCATCTTCTGTGAAATGGAAGAAGTCATGTTGGCTTCTTTTCTCGCTTTCTCTCTCTTGGGTTTTTAATTACAGACCTGAGCAGAGCTCAGTACCGCCAGCTTGTCTGAGCCAGCCCGGCTTCGATCTGCTGACCCAACAGAAACCTCAACTTGGGAGCATCTCACTGCCCTGGGATCGCATCCTTGTTTAGCACTTGGCCTGATGGCTCTGTTGGCCGCTCCGGAGAGGGGATGGAGATAAATCCCTCCTGTTTTTCCTGCATAAGCTGCAGGTCTGGAACAAGCCTTTCCAGAAGTTTAGCTCTGATGCGTGGGATCCATCTTTCCTGACTTTAAAACACCTTTTGGAGTGCTTCTGCAACGCAGACATCTTCAGCCAACTGCCTAGAGCGCTTTCAGTCCCACAGAGGGAGGGAGGTGTTACTGGGGAACAAATTGACCCAAAATGGTCTGTTTTGGTCCTTTGACTGGCTCGGACGTAGGCGTTTATGGCCAGGTGAAACCAGCCCCACCTTCTGGTCTTGCTCTGTTGGCTGTGCAACTTGGAAAACCTCCCAAAGTGCTCAGGTATTGCCGCTCTGTGACCCCTGTCTCCAATACACTTAATGTTCTCTCTCCTCTCCGGCACTGACGTGGGGAGGAGGAGATGGGAAGGCTCTCGGTGACAGTGAGTGCCTATGGTAAATCTTCTAAACCTTTTTCTAGAATTACACTTTCAGATTAATTTCATAATGGCTCAGAAAACCCACATTGGTCATGGTAAGTTTGATTGCAGTTTATTGAAGAAATTTCATAAAACCCATGCCGTTCAATGGGAGCAGATGAGAGGAAATGAGCTAGTTACATTTTGGCACATCATTCTCCAACCCTCTTCTTTGCCTCCCTTCCCCTTCCATAAAAAGAGAAGGGGAAAAAAAAAAAAGATAAGAACAAAGGCATTAAACCAGAGATGTTTTTCCAGGCTATGTAAAATTTATGTTACCAAAGCCTTCTGTTCCTCCTTTTTGTTTTCCTGTATTTTTAACCCCTGTCTGTACTTCAAGCTCACTCTGGTTGGTGGAAAGGAAAATGGTTTGCTGCTGAGACAAGATCTAGCAACCTGTAGGTTATGCGGTCTTTTGGCTTAAATTATACATACTGGGTGGGTGAGGAATTAGACATTATAGAGAGCCAACCCCTTTCACCTATGGAAGATGAAGGCTCCATTTTTGGATGTAGGTAGAGCTAGAGAGCCCTGGAGCGAAACAACAGCAATGCAAGAGGAATTGGGAAACAGAGCAACTGCCTCTATATTGAAAGTCACTTTGTTTTCAAGTTTTTGGGGAGAGCAAGCCCAGCAGTGGGGAGCAGGGTTGCTTAAGAGGGAACGCAAGGGTCTGTGGTCTCAACACCCCTCCTGGTTTCTATCGTAAGCGGGTGAAGGGACACGTTCTGCTTTCATGTACACTGGCCTAAATCTAAGTCCTGCACCTACTCTGCATTTGTACCAGAGCACTGGAGCAAAAGGGAACCCTGGGAAGCTGCAAGCTGAGCTCTAACGATGACGCCCATTAATGGGAAGGCTGATTACTCGTCGATAAGCAGCGCTGGGCTTCCAGTCAGCTGGGTGATGCTTTATGCAGAGGAATTAATTGGACTTAGAGAGGCATCTCTCCCAAGCCAATAAGTAGTGCTGGGGGTGAGTTTTCCCCTGATGGGAAAGCGGTAAGCGTGGGTCTTTGGATGGTGTTAATAGGCTTCGCGCTGGCAGCAGGAGGTGGTGCTCAACCTCTTCTGCTCCGAGTGAGCTGGATGCTGCCGCGACTTAGCTCCGATAGCTCTTCTTGGTAGTGCTTTTCGATACAAACCTCATGCTTGAGCTGCTTCCCGTGCCAGAGCTGAATCCCCCGGCCAGGCAGCTCCTGCTGCTGGAGCTGGCACCGCTTCCCCCCATGCTGAGCCTGTTGCTGAAGCCTGACCCCAGCGTGTTCCCACCTCCGTAGCTGCTCCCAGATGAGACCACGGCTGTGATGGGAAACCAGGGGCAGAGGGTTAGTTTGCTTGGAATAGTATGAAGGAATTTCAACCTTTAGTTTCACACATTCATGGTTTTTCTTGGACAGTCTACCACTGCCTGTATTTCACACAACTTATTCTCTGGCTTTTCTTCCTATCCTGTAGCAGAGCTGGCCTTAGACATCTGAGTCTCCTAGGGACAATCTCAGATCTCCTAGGGATAAAACCTTTCAAGTTCAGAGTTGGTCAGAGAATTGATGTATCAAGCTCTTTGGCCTCCCCAGTCCCGCAGAGTGCTGCAAAACCCTAAGTATACTCCATTTTTGTGCTGGTAACTACTAGCTGCATAGCTTGTTTTCATCGTCTTATCCTCAGTTTCAGGTACGTTTAAGGAATAACTCAATGAATACTCAATCTTTTGCTTATGAGCCAGACTACTTACAAATATTCACCGCACCAACGCCTTCTCCAGCCAGTCTGGAAGAAAGAGAGGGCAGAGAAGTAAGGGCTTGTTATTTAGCACAATTTCAAGCAACAGTTTGGCACCAGGGACATTGGATAACAGAATGGTCTGGAGTGTTAAGGTGTGATGATGAGTGTCCGATAGGAATTGAAGTAACACCTGTAACTGCGTAGGGTAGGAGTGTGTTTTCTCCGCAGTTTTTTGCGGCCCTTCCCTCTCTTGTTGGAAGGCAGATGTGAGAACATCTGTGGGTTTGGACATTATTTTGTTTGCAGGGGGAGGCACCCACCTGCTCTCCTCGCCCTCCAGCAGCTTTCTGTAGGTCGCGATCTCGATGTCCAGGGCCAGCTTGACGTTCATGAGCTCCTGGTACTCGCGGAGCTGCCGGGCCAGGTCTGCCTTGGCTTTCTGCAGAGCATCTTCCAGCTCGGCCAGTTTTGCCCTGGCATCCTTGACGGCCATCTCCCCGCGCTGCTCAGCATCTGCAATGGCCGTCTGCAAACTGGCGCACTGCAAGAAGTGGAAATAGGTTTGGTGACCGCTCAGTGGGTTTGGACCCTGATTTCCAGGCGTTCTTGCAAGGGTACAGCAAGGTAGTGGAGATGGAGATGCCCCCATGTTTGGAGGGCTCCTGTGCACTGTACCTGTTTCTTTACACTATCAATTTCCGAGTGGAGCCGCTGGATCATGCGGTTCATCTCTGAGATCTCCATCTTGGTGTTGTGGAGGTCATCCCCGTGCCGGCCAGCCGTGAGCTGCAGTTCCTCATACTGACATGGGCAGGGAGATGAGACACCAGGGCACAGTCAGATCTGGGCAGGAGCTTGAACTCATTGGTAGAGACTGACCCTGCTCTGATCCTCTCTTGACTGGGTCTCCTGCCTCTTTCTGTACTCAATCCAAGCTCTTCCTCATGAGCTTTAGCATATTTCCTTCCTACTTCTATCTCCTTATGCTCCTCTGTCTCTCGTTGTTAAAATGGCATTTTCACATGTCCAAGAAACTAAATGAATCCTATCCAAATTGACTTGATTTTACACCCTACTCCCCTGTCCTCTCTGCTTGCACTCTCCAGTATAAAATAGCCTATGGGAAACGCTAAACAAAAATTTTCCTAGCTCACCTGGTTAATTTTCACATCCTCACCTTGCTTTGGTACCAGGACTCAGCCTCTGCCCGGCTCCGGTTAGCGATGTCTTCGTACTGCGCTCTGACCTCTGCAATGATGCTGTTCAGGTCCAGGTTGCGGTTGTTGTCCATGGATAGGACCACAGAGGTGTCGGAGATCTGTGACTGCATCTGAGACAGCTCCTGTAAGTCAGACAAATTCGTTCTCAGTCCCAAATGTTTCACTGTTATGCTTGTCCCAGAGATGATGTGTGGTAGAGGGGTAAGATCGGGGAGGAACTGCAGCTCTGAAGAGCTCTCTCAGGCTGGTTCAATCCTGTTGGTACCAGGAAAATAAGGAAATCACAGAACTGGGAAACATGGGAGATTCTTACTGCTTCATAGAGGGCTCGCAGGAAGTTAATCTCATCTGTCAGTGCATCCACCTTGGTCCCCAGGTCCACCTTGTTCATGTAGGCAGCATCCGCATCCTGGAATTGCAACAACAGGGGTAGCGAACAAAACCTTGCCTATCTGCATCCTTGTACAAAGACCAGTTGTCATTTAATACAAACCTTTGGTGACAAACTAGAACTGAAGACTTCCTTGACCTCTGTGCCTTTAAACAGAGCCAAAAGTGACCTGGTTTCTTCCCTCTACCTTCTTTTTTGGGGGAGGGAGGGATAATAGTGTCCATAGATCTAAGCAATTTTTTACATGTAGAAGCCACTGAATTTCTCTTTTCTTGCCAGTGCACAGACAGATATTTTCGACAATGCTTTAAATAGTGGAAGTTTCTTATTGTGTCTCCTGCAGGTGGGACCAGGGGGGCTGTGGGGGGTGGGATTGGATACAGAGAGGCTGCAGAAGCAGCAGAGCATCTAGTGGAGTGACTGCAAGGTATGGATGACCCAGATCTCATCTGCTACCTGGGGGACCAGGACTCACCTGAATTTTTTATGAGGGGCCTGAAACAAGAACGAGCTATTGCCGGGGACTGACACACTGGCACAATTGGGTGTTTCTGCTTCAAGGAGGGATGACTACACGTTTGCTAAGTGCTTTGCCCAGCTTGGCACTGCCGGATAAAAAGGGTTATTTGCATTCAAATGCGTTTTTGCCTTTAAAAAGTGTGTCCCTTCTTTGTTGTTGGTGCCTCACCTTCTTGAGCAAAACAAAGTCATTCTCTGCAGTCGTGCGCTTGTTGATCTCCTCTTCATACCTGTTGGGAAGGGGGGATGAGCATCCCTTTACAGCTTCCATACCGCAACCCACCCCATCCGCCACGGGCGTGCGGAAATCCCTCCTCCACACATTCGTTATAGGGTGCTTGTGGAGAGACTAAAGGGTCTGTTCCCAGGGGCATTGACCACCGATGCATGGATCTTTGGAGGAAACAACAAAAATAGCTATCTAACAATGCTATATCCTTGCTATGTCAGTGCATATGTTATACATAGCATTATTAGATATATGTATCTCACTGATTATGATAGAAAGACAGCACCCTTGGGCTAGGTGATGGGAGGAGGCCATCTAGAAAAGCTGCAGGCCTTCATTAAAGGCACGTTTTATCCTCCCAGAAGTTTTTGCTGTGAATGGGAGCCTTGTACTCTCTAAATTTTCTCAGGCCGGGAGGGCTGGGTGGAGCCGTAACTGAGCTCATCGCCACCACACCTGGGTTAGTCAGAAGAGCTGGGATCTCTGACGCCATCTCCCACGGTGGCTTTGGGAGGGCTGGGGATGGCTGGGGAGGAGGGAGGATGATGGCCTGGGCAAGGAAAGCCAAGGTCTGGATCAGCAGCAGCACGCGGTCCCACTCTTGGGAAAGGATAAAAACCAGCAATAGCCATGGACTGATGCCCAGCTCAGATGAAATGATTAAATGAGGGAGATGAAAGACGGGAGTTCAAAGGAAGGAATCCGTGCAGCTAATAAGACGTTAGCCTTTCATGACCCTTTCATGGGGGAAGATTTCTTCACATCGGGAATGTCCAACCCTTAAAATCATTTCCATTAAGCAAAGTCCTAGCCTGTATATAGATTTGTGGGTCTCTGAGCTCTTAGCCACATAGAAGAGGAAAACTAATTTGGCATATGTCTAATTTCTAATTGCCATATGGATTACTATTTGACTCAGAAGAGCAAACCATTAGGACGAATACTTTGGGATCCACAAAGTTTAAAATAAATAAAGGTAAGAAGAACAAATTCCTAGGAAATGGGGACAGAAGTAGTGACGTCCTTTTGGTAGGTGTAGGCATTGTTGCCACAATGCAACATGATGCTCCTGGCACAGCAATGCGTATGATGTAACTGAGCGTTTGCCCAAAGATTCCCTGATCTGGAGCCAGAAGGAATATTTGACACTTTGTCAGATGAGGCAGAGTATTAAAGTCTGAACCTCTTCTATGATGTGACCTTTGGTTGTCAAAGGATTTCTTGTCTGAAGTCATGGCGCACCCAAGGGTCTTTTCTCAGCTGAGGAATCTCTGTTGCTGCTCCAGACTGTGCTAATGTTAGACATTGCTTTTCAAAATTTAAAATTGCTTTCACCATGGACCTGTGATGAGAATAGGAGGAGGACACTCTCTGACCCAGTTAATCAATAGCAGTATTGTGCTTACTGCTGGAGTTCATCTCAAGTCAGCTATCTGGAACTTGGCTATTTTGGCTAAGCTCTGTTCTTTGAGGTTTCTTTGGTAGCTGATGGAGAAGGATATTTATCTCAGGAATGTCATTTGTCCCATCCTAAAATGAATGAAGGAAATCCAGATGGCTGATTTGTAGCAGACCCTGACATCTTACCTGGCCAAACTGGCACAGGACAGATTTTTTTTTTTCTCTGTTAAATGTTTCTTTTCTGAAGGCACAGAGAATCATAAAAAAGAAGTCTCAAAGTAGACCATGGATGACGATTTCTCCTCCCCAAAGCAGTCATTTCCATTCCAATGCTACTCTGGGGCTAGAGGCACTGTTGGTAAAGGTGGCAGAAAATGTCAGAGACATGATCTCCCAAGAAAGGGAGAGCAGAGAGCTTTTGGCAGAATGTGCGTGTCCTTGTTTTGAATTGCAGCCTGCACCTAGCTCTCATCTCTTGTTTTTCTGGTTCCAGATTGACAATTTAAAAAGCTCCTTACTTATTCACATCCATTAAGCAGTGCATCCCTCGTGGGCATGGTAGCAGACACTAACTCTTGATAGATGTTTTTCCAAAGTGCAAAGAGTGGATGAGAGAGGGAACACCTCCTCCTAACAGCCTAAAGAGTTAATGAGCTGAGATGAAACCCTTGTCCAAGATTTCAGTGACTTTCCATGGGGTGGAAGCTAACTTTCAGAAGTGCTAAAACTATTCAATACGTTGATATGAATTATATATGATTATAACAATTAAAAAAAAAAAAAGAACAACACTTAAGCACACACTTAAAATTACTCTTTCTTTTTAGACAATTTTTCTCTTCTGGAAGGGAACCCACATCAGTAAGAAATGTGAGTGTTCAGAGTGCTCAATAGTCTTGTTAAGATTCAGGTTTCTTCCTGGTCTGTGTTAAAATGATTACACAGGAGCTGAAACCATTTGGAAAGCTTCAGCTCTGGACAGACTAAGCTTTTGAGAAGGTGCTCCCAAACTCATGTGGATGTCTGACCATCTGAGCCTTTTGCAACATTTTAAAAGTTTACCTGTCCCTACAAAACAAATACCTGTGTCTTGCAACAGGTAAAGTGCTGTTGCTGACATTTATACAGCAGCTAAAGTGAGGGCAACCCGAGTCACTTTAGTCCTTTCTGAGGTCTCACAGTTTTGGGGTTGCCTTGGGTCTTTTAACTCATCCAGGAAGAAGATAGAGTCAAGAAAAACTGGACAGGTTTCTTTCTGTGTGTTGCTTACCTGATCGTGAAGTCTTCAACAGCATCCTGCATAGCCTTCAGCTCTGAGCTGAGCCGCAGCCTATCCCCTCCTAGAGCCTCAAGCTGTCTCCTCATGTTGCTGATGTATGCGTCAAACATAGGTTCAAGGTTATTTTTTACAACTTTTTGGTCTTTCAAGAGGCTCCATTTGGTCTCCAGTACTTTATTTTGTTGCTCCAGGAACCGCACCTGAAACCCATCAGAAAAATTTAAATCATTTGGGATCATCAACTCAAAACTTGCCTCACTTTTCATGAGATGGGGGCTTTAATGTGAGGGATTTGGGGTTTTTCTTTTATGTAATTTAAAGTGGGCTTTAGATGGGCATGTCATCAAAAGATCATTGTTAGGAAGATTTGCAAACCAGGAGCAATATTCAACTGCAAAGAAACCTGAAAAAATAATTTGCACCATATCCAGACTGTGTATAGAGCTCTGACAAAATGAGCTGTACAGACAGTCTGGATATGGAGGTAACAAGCTGAACAAAGTCCTTAATTCTGTGCATTAAGGGTTTAGAAGTAAATTTATAATGTTGAGAGCAATCCTGATCCTAGTCTACAGGCAATGACAAACATGCCAGGTAGGATGAAGTGGAACATGTCTTACCTTGTCGATGAAAGAGGCAAATTTGTTGTTGAGGGATTTGATCTGGTCCTTCTCCTCCTGCCGCACTCTCTGCATGTTGGGGTCAATCTCCAAGTTAAGAGGTACCAAGAGGTGTTGGTTGACCATGACCTCTTGAATACCTCCAGGGCTATATCCTCGTCCAAACCCAAACCCAGCTCCACCGACTCTATATGCCAACCCGCCATGACCTGACCCATAACTGTATCCTGGTCTAGCAGAACAATACCCTCCGCTCATGGAAATCCTCTTGCTTGCCCCTAGATTGTGAAGGCTCCTGCTGCCAAAACCACCGCTGATCCGTCCCGTGCCTCCACCACTGCTACGGGACACAGACACGGACCTGGAGCTGCTTCGGTTAACAGCCGTAGTGTCAAACTCACTATTGAAACTCATAGTGAGTCCTCCTGACCTAATGCCGACTGACATCTGTGCTGGTGGTGAGAGCAGAGGACAATGAGGTGAGATGGCAGATGAGTAGAAATCTTTGGGAGTTTGGATCAGGAGTCCCCTCTGCCTTTTATCCTTTTGGAGAGCTGGGCTTGTCCGCAGAGGACCGCAGCTCACTTGACTGAGCTAATTGCTTTGGTATGCTGGCACATGGCCACCTTTCCCAACCCGTTAATCACCAGACTCGCTAATGCAATGGGCTGGTAATCTTCAGGCTCATAAAACTCACCAAATTTTCTAACCTGTATTTTTCAGTGGGGATTACTGGTGGGGAAAAAAATATATTTACATCCAAAGTTCCCTTGGTTAATGGTGTCAGTGGCCATTTAGTTTAAAGCTGATGGGACTGAAGTTGCCACAAGAGGGAATCTAGAGATGTTGAAAATGCTAGTTTGATGTGCTTTGCTAAACAAAAAACTGACTTTGCTCCCCGATTGCCAGCCATCTTTGGGTAGGAGCAACCTGTCCTGATCTAGGCAAGAAGTTAGATGTCTTGGTCTGCACTCCTCATCTTTGCAGGCAACACTTCATCTGCACAAAGGTACTTCTGGTAAAGGTGATAACGTGGGACACACCTGTGCCTTTCTGTTGGCTATAAAGGGGGCCTGGATGCTTTGTTTAGCCAAAATGCTGAATGATGAGATAGCTAAAAGCACATGGTCCTTTTAGAGAAAAAACAGAGAGAAAACAGCCTGACTTGTAAAAGTCCAGGTCATCAAATGACTGTGATGCTGGACAGTGTTTAAATAACAAACCAAATACCAGTTCTGCTGGTGTCAGTGGAAATATGGTCCGGAGATGCCAGAGAAAGATGGGCAGGTGTTGAAGAGGACGAGCTATTTCCTTTCCAGTAGTGTGTTATGGTGCTTAGATCTATAGGATTAATGAAAAGCTGGGGTTTATTATATCACCTTCTCTTTAGGCTAGGAGTCAGCATGCACTTAATGTGCGTCACGTTTACCTCTAGTGCTTTAGTCACTCGGCAGTGTTTTGTCAGAGACTGAACCAGCACAATCTGCTACAGTAATCTCAGCCCATTTGGTGCTTTGTAGTTTGTCTCTCCTTACCGCTGTTCAGGAGATCAGAGAAGGGGAACCAAACCTTCCTTACCCTCAGGGTCTTTAACTATCTCACAGCCTATGCGTGGGGACGTGATTTTTCCCAAAGAGGGTGAGTTTGGGGGTTTAATGGGTCTTTTCTAATTATGGTAATGGCAGTGACGGCATTTTATTAGCCCCTGCAGCTAGTGCATGTACAGAACAGCATGAGCTGAAGTACTTGCTTTCTTGGGAAAAACTAGATTTATATCCCTACATGACTCATCACATAAAACCTTGAAAGATTACAGGGGTTTTGGCATGATCAAGGTGGGATGAAAATGCTGAGATGCCATAATGTAGAAATTAAGGTAGAAGGATGTTTTCTCTAGTGCCTACTAGGAACAGTAGATATTTCCCCATCCTGTGGAAGATACTGATGCTAAAAAAACTTTGCTCATGCAAATGGGAATGGAACATCCAGCTGCTCTGTTCCTGTTGGATATCAGAGGTGTCCATGGAGTTGTAGTGAGTGCAGAGAAAGGAAAGGTCTGAACTCTTGTGTGTGTGACTTTTGTTTACCTTCAACTCTGCTCTGCTATGTCAAGCACTCTCTTCTCCAAGGTCCTGTAAAGTAATTGGTCTTCAAAGGAGGATGCGACAGAATTAATTTCACGTGCCTTTTATTAGACAAACACTGGGAAATGGGGATTTCAGAGAGTTGAAGAACAAACAGGAGCATGGCATGTTTTATATAAATAAAGATAGATAGCTTTGACTTCCAAATCTTTTGCAAGTAAAAGGGTCAGGATTGTACACAACACGAGAGGAAACTTGGCACACGCTAGCTAATAGTGCTGATGTCTGACTTTAATAGCATCTCTTGGTTGAAGAGGTGCTGGAGACATACTTCGTGCTGGAACTGCTTCCACCGACCACGCATGGCCCGGCTGCGCCTTGTCCGCTTCCAGAGCTGAAGCCCATTCCTCCAGCACAGACCCCACCTCCAACACCGCTGCTGCCTCCAAAGCTGAGACAGTTTCCACTTCCATATCCTGTTCCTACGGCGGTTCTGGTCACGGCTGCAAGAGGAAAACACCCTCGTTAGATGTATCCACAAACAGCGGGCTCTAAGCGGCAGGGAGACAAATGTAAAAGTTGCCAAACTATCTTTAAAAGTTACTTACAGATATTCACTGCACCAGCACCTTCTCCAGAGAGCCTGTTAGGGAGCAAAATGAGCCAGTAAGAATTCAAGAGGAACCCATGAACAGGAGCTGGTTGAAAAGGGAGGAGAATTTCCTTGGAATATATTTGGTAGAAGTTGGAAAGTTTGCATGAAAGGCTACCATCTTCCCAAATAGCTCATCTTCATGGTCAATTCTTGCCTTTAAACAGGTTTCAGGTCTTCTGAATGTGGGAAGTCTAAACCTGACAAGGGTCTGCAACTTCATTGCACCTCTGGAAATTGGGATATAAAATTGGACGCACCTGCACTCCTCACCCTCCAGCAGCTTCCTGTAGGTCGCAATCTCAATGTCCAGGGCCAGCTTGACGTTCATGAGCTCCTGGTACTCACGGAGCTGCCGGGCAAGGTCTGTCTTGGCCTTCTGCAGAGCTGCTTCCAGCTCGGCCAGTTTTGTCCTGGCATCCTTGACGGCCATCTCCCCGCGCTGCTCAGCATCCGCAATGGCTGTCTGCAAACTGGCGCACTGTGGAGGAAAAACAGTGGTTGCATTCCTTCTCTAGAGTATAGACCAGTTCTTTGTACCCTGAGGTCATGATGCCAGGTCTAGATGCAGATGACTTCGGGTTAACATCTATAGGCGTGATCTTAATGATCATTGAATTGACCCATGTTCTGAGCCAGGTCACAACCTGGATTTAATCTAACCCCACACCTCTTAACATCTTCTTAGGTTTACTGATATTGTATTAAGTTACTCTTAGTGATGTTACTGCACTGAGATAAATGCAGTCGTATTCATTCCTGATCCAGCAGAACTAACAGAGATGCATCTATTTGTATTCCCTGGAGTTGGCTGGACAGCCAAGAGGTTAGACCACAGCAAGAGTTAAATCTTAGGCATTTATGCTGCCCTTTACCTGTTTCTTCACACTGTCGATTTCAGACCGCAGCCGCTGGACATGACGGTTGAGCTCAGAGATCTCCTGCTTGGTGTTACGGAGGTCGTCCCCGTGCCTGCCTGCTGTAGCCTGCAGCTCTTCGTACTGTCAGATAGAGAGGAACAACCAGTCAAGGTAAAATGTATTGGGTTTAGAGCCAAGCAGAGTGTGGGTATGTGGGTGTTTGCACTCCAAAGTACATGTATATTCTCAGTCCCAAATTAGCACTTCCAAACTTTATAGGATTATTAAATCTGAAGACATCCTGTGTTATAAAAATCACAGTGGGACACTCCTCCCCGAGGGGATTTGTGGGAGGGAGTTGGTTTTCCCATTGCAGAAGCCTTCCTAGGCACTCACCCTGGACTGGTACCAAGACTCGGCCTCCGCCCGGCTCCGGTTGGCAATGTCCTCGTACTGCGCTTTGACCTCTGCAATGATGCTGTCCATGTCCAGGCTGCGGTTGTTGTCCATGGTCAGGATGACGGAGGTGTCGGAGATCTGGGTCTGCATCTGAGACAGTTCCTGCAAAAGCAGCGGGTGTTTCGGTGAGTTGCAGGTGCGAGACCCGAATGTTGCTCCGAGAAAGGAAACCCCCCAGGTTAGAGGGTAGATCTGGGTGGACAAAGTGACTTTTCCAAGACAGTTTCAGGCAGGATTAAGCCAGCAGGTGAAATGGAAAAAGCATTGAATTATTTAGTGCAACAGAGTGGAAAATAAACAGTCCTGAGCCTCTGAAGTGGGAAAAGAAGGCAAGGACATAGGAAACTGGGAGAATGATGTAAATGCTGGTGCTTACGGCTTCATAGAGGGCTCTGAGGAAATCTATCTCCTCCATAAGGGAGTCCAGCCTGGCTTGCAGCTCTGTCTTGTTCATGTAGGCAGCGTCTACCTCCTGGAAGAGGAAACACATCACAAAAATGAAGTGGTTTTTGGAGAAGCATAGGAAAAGCTGGAGAACGTGTTTCTTGCTATGCTCCTGCACCTACCTTCTTCAGGATCACAAATTCATTCTCGACAGCTGTGTGCTTGTTGATCTCCTCTTCGTATCTGCGGGATTGAAATGGAGGGTTGGTCTAGGCTTGTGCAAAAGTTATTTCATGTTTTCAGGACCAGCCACTGGTTTTTTTTTGTGTGTGTGTACGGTTTTGTACCTTGGTCTCTTAGCCGTATAATTTTCTGCCTGTGACTTTCAGCCATGGGGAATTGAGGCTGAATATGTCTCATATTAAATTTAACCTGGGCCTTACTTGCAAGATTATATCAGCAAAAAGGCCTTCTTTCCTTGTTTGACTGCACAGGTGCATCAGAGAGCTGGTATCTGTCGCAGCCCCCCTGCTCTCCAGGCAGACCACAAATGGATGGGCTTACTTGTTCTTGAAGTCCTCAGCAAGGCTTTGCACCTTGTTCAGCTCCCCTCCCAAGTTCTCCTTGTCTGTCAGCAAGCTGTTCAGCTGTCTCCTGAGGTTGTTGATATAGGTCTCAAAGAGGGGCTCAATGTTGTTTCTGACTGTTTTGTTCCCCTGTTCTTGCAGAAGGGCCCACTTGGTCTCCAGGACCTTGTTCTGTTGTTCAAGGAATCGGACCTGGATAGAGCAAGGAGATGTTTCAGAAACAGTGATTTCAGGATGGTTTTCCTTAGAGAGGCAAGGTACAATCCTGCAAGGATTTGCTTGCTGAAAGGTGGGAGCTCTCAGCCCTTGGGGAACAGCTGACAATTTAGACAAGCAAGCAAGCATTGCACATCTGATGTTAACATTCCTGCTCTCTTTGCAAACTCTG